CGCCCCCCCAGCGCTGCCAAAGCCGGCGAGGCTGCCGGAGAAACAAAGGCAGCCCTGTCCTCGGCTGGAGCTTCTCGGCCGTATCCGCATCCCGTTTTCCTCCCCGGAGCAGCACAAAGGCTGTAGGGAACGGCAGGAACATATAGCCAGGGGTGGTTTGTGCCAGGCAAGTCAGCTCCCTTCGTCGCTAATAAATAACTCCCCTGTGGTCTTGCATTTATAGGGATGAAGAAGGGAAGGGGAGGAAGCACGGCACAAGTCGTGGGCTCCTTCGCCTGCTCGGTGCGTGGTCCCCGGAGCGCGCACGCTTTGGAAAACACTCGCACGCGCTAAATCTTGCTAAGGTTCGAGCTGATTTTTTTTTTTTTTTGTCCTGCTGAGCTGCAGGCAGCCACATTTGAAAGGGTTCTTTCCCCAAAAAGACGAGGCGGCCTCACCTGAATCGCCCGACGCTCAGAGCATCTGCGAGAAAGAAGGGACTGGGAAAAGGGATTGCTGTTCCCGGCCGGCGCAGCCCTTGCCAGATAAATCAGCTGCTGGGATGGGTTGTTTTGGCGCGCCGGGGCTTATTGTTCCAGCGCCAACAAGCTAAACGTGCACGCACACGCGGTATTTTTAACCTGCAGTTTAATTGCAAGGGGTTTCTCCGCCGTTGAAATGGAAATTGCCGTGCTTGATTAGCAAAATATACATTGGGTTCATTATCGCCCCGGCAGCCACTTCCCCTGTGCAAAACAAACTCCGGTGGATGCGAACTCCCGTTCTCCCCAGTGAGCGGTGGTGGGAAAGTCGCTCTGATTATTTAATGGAGTTATTTCCTCCCCAGACCTCACCGACAAGGTAGCCAAGGGCTGTTCCGCCACCCGACCTCTCCTGGCCAGGGGGGCTTGTTTGGGTTACGCTCCTCTAGCCACGGCCAGAACTGCACGGCCAGAGCTGCTGCTCTCCCTCTCCAGCCACCCAGCTCCACCAGTCCGTCCTCCCCACCCAGCCCCGGCTGCAGCGGGACCCGGGGGGGGGAGGGGGTTTTTAGGCTTATTTCCCCAGGTGCTGAAGGGCTGAGTTTGAAATCCCGTTTCTCCTAGAAACCATGTGGGTCAGACCCTGATACGCAGCCGTACCTTCGCTCCCGCCGGCACACGTTAATCCACCCGTAAGGTACTCCTCTTTATCCCAGCTGTGAGTGAAGAGCATTAAGCCACTCCATTATATGGAATTATAAGCAACCTGAAAGAGTTTTTATAGTCTTGTAAACTTGGGCAAATTGCCTGGGACTTCACAGGTTTAGTTCCCCACCCCACGTGGGCCCCATTCGGCCTTTAGGAAGTACCAGCGTTGAGTTTTGGGAGGAGGGGGAGCCATGAGAAAAGCCGCCTCCTCCGCTCCCACGGAGGAGAAGGAGTGGTTTCGAGAGCCGAAATAAAGTTGGATGCCACCGCCGAGGTCTCGCCTTGCGCCCCAGTCCTGGAGATGGGCACGTGCGACAGGAGTTTGGATCCAACCTAACCAACCCTTGACCCAACCGGTGGCCGCTCCCGGTGCCTTTGGCTGCAGCCTCTGCCCGATGAGCACCCAGGCAGCTCCCCAGGGAGACGGGCCCTAGGGAGGGAAGCCCCGTGCCAGACAGCTACTCAGGACAGTTGGTTTTGGTAATAAAGATGCAAAACAGGCGATGCCTTCGCTCTCTGTGACAGCAGGGACCTGGCTGAGCGCATATCCCAAGACTTGGGTCCAGCCAGAACTTCTGTTCATCTCCATCTTACGCTTAGGAACCCACTCGCTATTTGCTGCCAGACCCTCCCCATCGGTGGCTTTTGCACGTCCTCATGGGTGACAGGTTCTAAAGAAGTTCACAACATGAAGCATTATTTCATCCCTCCATCCCTCCCTCCCGCACCCAAGCCCTAAGCAACGGCACCGGCAAGCCAGAGCAGGTCACCAAACACTGACGCCCCCATCGCCTCCCCAGTGGGTTTTGCATCAAAACTATTTTGGGGCAAAGCTCCCAAGAAGAGCTCCCGGTCCGGGGTGAGGCCAAAGCTTCTCCTTTCTCACAGTCTCCGGCCCCCAGCACACTGCTGTCATCCACCCAAGGCAGTTTTACTCTAACGAGCATATAAAAACCTTGAAATCTCGACTAACAGGTTTGAGTACAGAACTTCAAATTTTAATTTAAGCTTCTTCAGCCTGAAGAGCCCCTAATCTTCGCCAGCAACTATCGGCAGTGGGGGAGGCGACTGTGCACTCTCCAGATCAGCCTTTCGGATGAGTAAAGCCAACAGTTTGTTGGCTGAAAAGTGCATTGATTCGAAACTTTTACTTTTCACTGCACAGAAGGGTTGTTCTTGAATAGTAGGGTTTTCTACACATTGTTTCTGTATGTACTGTACAAGTAACTTATTCTTGAATAATGCAATTTTGCCATAATATAAAAATCTGCTCTTTATAATAAACTGTTTCTAGAACCTGTTTCTCACTTTCAGTCTTTACCCTGACTCTCTCTGGGAGCCTGGATTCTATTTTAACAGACACCGCTGCTAAAAGACAGAAAGGCTCCCGTAGAAACGCAAAGCCCGCAGCCCACGCCACGAGCTGTTTCTGCCTTCCGCGTCGCCATCACTGTCTGCGACGGTCTCGTGCCCCCTGCTGCCCACCTGGCCCCGAACTCATGACAGTGTACTGGAAGGATTAAGACAGAACCTGTAGCAGTATTTGGATTCCCCGGGGTGTTTTTCACCGAGCCCCAGTGGGATGTACACTGCTGCCCGTGGAAGGTCGCACACACACACACCTCCCAGCTTACTCGTCCTGCCTCTGAAGTGCAACTACAGTCCAGTCCAGTTTAACCAGCATCACCTTTGGGTTAGCTGCCGCAGGATGCCTGCACCGTAGGGGACCGTTAGGGAGACCAGAGCACTCCATAAGCAGGGATAACCTCTCTGCACATTATTGAGGGACACGACAGTCTCCTATCCTTTTCCCATTTTGCTAAGGAATCCTAACCCAAATTTCCTCCTTTCCTTCCATGTGTCATGTGTAGTTCTGTCACCCTGAGCCTCAACGCCCAGTTGTGACAGCGGCCGGAGCAGCGTAAGGCTGAGGACTGAGGGAACAGACCCCAACACAAGAAATCCGTTAAAACCTGGTACCGGACTTCTCGTCTTGAAACCTTTACCTTATTTTTTGCAGCAGCACTGCAAGTAAATACGATGGATTTGGTGTCATGGAGAGGACACACGCGCGTGCACACAGACAGACACACGCCCCCACGGCAGCGGCACAGGACAGAATCGCACCACAAAGCTTACCTGGGGCCAAGCCAAACATTCACTGCCATTCGCATCGAAAGGCGGAGGACAGATTCAAGCGAGACATTGGTAAAACAAGACACAAACACAAAGTAGGTCAGTTTTTAAAACTTTTTTTATTTTTTAATTTTTTTTTTAAGTTTTTATTTTATATTATCTACAAAGTAAAAGTTTTCTTAACTTAAAAGTTACATCACTGTCTCACGATAGTGATTATCTCATCAAACGTGATTTATAAATAATAATTCATCAGTTTGACGATTAGAATTTTTTTTTTTTTTTTTACTGAACCTGTTTCAAGTTTAGTTAGAAGTAAAAGGGATCTCCAAGTCTTGATTTTTAGTGATAATAGCAGCAAGAATCACTCTTGTTACTTCTTTTGCTAGCTGATGAGTTCGTAACTTTGAAGGGTCATTAAAAAATAAATAACTTCCAGTTTTCAGCAAGCAGAGTTGGGGCACTTGCAGGACTCAGATACAGTGCATGGAATTATGGAATAGCCCACAAGTTCCTAAATGCCTCTACTCAGTCCGAATCTCTCCCACTGCAAGATGAACTGTTAGCATTCCTAGTGGATGTTACAAGAAATCAATTTTTTTTTTTTTTTTAAACAAAATAAAATGAAATTCTAGTTTTCTGTGCTTCCAGTTGGCAGAAGCAGTAGAAGGAGGGTATTTGGCCTACAAAAGGTATCCAGCCTTTCAGTTATTCCAGATGAGCCTTACAACTGCTGTTGGTGGTGGGCTTGTACTGTAAAAAAAAAGTTCAAATGTAAATAATAAATTGGCAAGCCACACAACAGTTTGCTAGTAAAGTGGTCACAGGACAACTACTGAACTTTTTCTTTTTTTTCCTTTTCCTCTTTCCTTTTTTTTTTCTTTTTTTTTTTTTTTTTAATGAACAAAACAAAACCCTGCACATCAAGATGTCCTTTGGATGGTTTTTTTTTTTTTTTCCCCTACCTAAACCCTCAGAAAGCAGCCTTGTTCCGCTCACACATCCCCCAAGAAACAAAACCAGGTGACTCGTTCACTACAAAAGTTTAGAGGCTGTTTGGAAACGAGTAATAAAGAAACCTAGGTGAGGTTAAATTTAAAGCGGAAAGAAGTCATACAGCACCTACTTTTGCCCAAAAGTAAAGCTGCAGAACGTTACTCTGAATTAAAGATTAGACTTCAATTATCATTTTACTTCAGTCATTAGAAGTCTAACAGCCCTACCCCCAAACAACATTTTCACTCCTATCCTCAAGACGGATCACTTTAGATTTAACGAACCCCCAGATCGTTATAAACAGGCTACACAGACAGTCCATCCCCCACGGCAAAACCACGGCAAAACCTGGCAGAACGCAGTCCCACAGTGCCGGTGTCTGCGCAGTTATCTCTTTCTCTACTTCAGCTAGAGAGAAGCAAAGTCTTTGCTAAGTTGGCCAAATCTCATACGCTTATCTCGGCTCGCATTTGGGCTGGCAAAGTATAAACGCAAAACGTAGAAAGATTTGCTTTCAGCAGCCTGCCACTCTAAAAGGACATCTTAAGGTTTGGTTTTTTTGTTGTTTTTTTTTTTTTTGCTGTTGTTGTTCTTTTCCCCAAATCTGGTTCATAACAGTTCTCCTCACTACTACGACCTGGCTCAGTTAAGGTGCAGGTCTCCCGGGCACACACTCCTCACCTGAAGGGTGCGTCATATAGGGGAAATGTGTTGTTGTCGAGACTGGAATGGGCTGTAGTGCACTTTGAGCGATGGCGGCTTGGGGACCACCAGGTGGCTGTGTCGTCATTAGCATCATTGGAGCATGGGCAGTTGGGTGAGAAGGAACCATTCCTGACTGTACATGAGCCTGAAACAAAGAGCTCTTTAGTATAATGGTCACAAGGAGGCATCACTCCCGGCCACATGACTGTCAAGTTTTCTCCAGCTGTACCAGTAAATCCAGAGATTTACTCCATTTTAACTAGATTAGCTATAGGGATTAAATCAGAGATCTCAACGCAAAAATAACAACTGGAAAAAAAAAAAAAAAAAGAAGAAGAAAAAAAAAAGAAAGGGCTCAAATCCTTACTGCTGGCTCTGAGTCACATTCTCAATTTTAGCCGTTGGGACAGCGAGTGCTGGGAGAAACTGCCAGCATTAAACGGGAATATTTTTTAAAAAACAAAACAAAACAAACCAAAAAACCCCAAGAACCAAAGAAAAACCAAACCAAAAAAAACCCCTCAGCAACAAATCTTCGAAACATTACTGTTAGTAACCTAGATCAGAGCACTTCCTATGCAGAGAACGCGGCGGGTACAGAGACAAACTTCACAGGCACTGGGAGCCTGGCACCCCTTCCCCAGCTGCTCGTTACACAAGTCCGCATTCTTTCATGGCTCCCTGCCCCAGAAACCACTCTCTCCAGTGACCTGCGCCCACATCATTGTTCATCTGAGCAGTCATCTAAGATGCGTGATTTCATCCCTTTATACTGTTAGGTCAGCTTTGTTCTGCTTCCAGTTAAGCTCATCACAGTGAAGGTCCTTGTGTAATCTAAGCAATCATAGTTAAGTCTCAGTGGAAAAAGGAGATTAATCTTTACGATGGCTGATCACCTTCTGGCAAACAAGTTCAGTAACTTGTCAGTTGGCTTCTCGAGCTCAGAGCAGTTCATGACTCTAGAGGTCATCAATTTTTTGGTTTGAAAAAAAGCAAGTAAGCACTAGTTTCTTAAAAGCAGAAAACATTAAGGAACTCTTCGAGCTCTCAGCGGGTTTCTCTTGGAAAAAAAACCAACAAACCACATTCGTATCTAAGGTTTGCTTTGTCCTTCTACCATATCCCATTATCAGAGCACTACGGTGCAATAATCAGAGCCTCACAAGTTTCACATGCCAGTAAAGACAGATAGCAGGTAGTGGCCACAATTTTATTTCTTAAAAGACAAAAAGGTTACTTGACTCATCACAGACATTCCTCAAACTCTTTATCAGACTTGCACTGTATTAGTAGCACTCAAGAAGCCTTTAAAGGCAGGAACTGCAATTCAAATCTCACTCTTTGCTCTAAAAAAGGCTTAGAAGATAAGGCTGTGAAACAGAAACACCTTTCAGGATCAGCACCATTTTCACTTTGACAAACACGCTATTATAGCAGCCATCGTTATAAAGCAGATATTCATACAGCAGCTGTATTCAGTACACACATTGGATAAAAATTTCTGCTGTGGCTCAAATGTTTTGCAAATTGGCAGCTGACAGTACTCTGTAATGAATTTTCAAGTACTGTTCCTCAAGTGAGATATTTAACAACTCGAGATTCATCTGATAACCTAAAGGGAAATTCAACTGATCCCCTGTGTTAGCCTAACCGAAATTCCTGCTACACTCTAGTTCAGAATCGCGTGCAGAAGCTGGAGATGAAGCTGCTAAGAAACTATTAAATCCAGTGATTAGTTTCCCCACAATGGAATAATTACATGCATTTAGAATTTCTTGTAGAACTGTAGTTATTCCTTCATTAGAGATTTTTGAGGGAACTACTTCATTTCGAAAAGTCAGTTAGCTTGGTGTAAGTATCATGGATTACGGACTGTAGCTTTCATCCTAAAAAATTACAGCAGAAGAGACTGCGCAAGTCAAAAAATCAAGGGTAAAGCAGGATTTGCCTGTGATCACTAAAAAATCCTGACTAAGCAGCCAGTTCGGACTAAAAGCTGCATCTGATTCGCTCCAGCAAGGTTTGTTTAGGAAGTGCTTGGCACACAGGAAGGCAAACATCCTACAGCACAGGCACAGGCCCGGCCGCGATGCGTGCAGCACAAGTCGTGTACATTTTTACCTTCGTGCAGACCTCGAAACGCAGGTGTTTTGTGTTTCAAGGCACGGCATCGCTGGCAGTAAGCCCCCAGGGTTGCACGTGAAGCACCCCGAGAAGCTCTACAACCCAGGCGTTCACACCAGGGCCATCGCACCAGAGCGGAGCGAGTGTCTTGTTTCTGGCAGAAACCAGAGCCCAGAGGACGTGGCAAGACGCCACAGCAGTAGTCAAGTTTGGACGCTCTCTCCTTATCCTCCCGCAGTACAAAAGCAGCGAAATTAAAAGCCTAACTGGAATTAAAAAGCTGAAAACTCAACATCGGTAAAACAATTCCTAAATAACTATTAATTCATTGGCTTAACTGACTGTCCCAGGGACCAAAGCAAAGATTTTATCAGAATTCCGCGTGGGACCGGACACCTATTATACTAACCTCCCTAATTACAGTTAGTCGTGACATCCTAAACTATTGTTAACCTGTATGAGAAGGCATAAGCCAGACACCAAGTACTTGGTCTGGAGAAGAAATTGTGCAGGCAATTTACTGATTAACTGTCCGTTCCTTGGCAAAGCACACTAAATCCATGAGATTTAGTAAACATCAGAAAATCTTTGTAACGCTGCTTTCCATAGAGCGCTCGATTAATCAATCACGTGCTTCCCTTCCCAAAATCCTTTTTTCAGTGAGTTGACCACAAGAGAGCAGTTAAGAGAAGTCGGTTTCTGATCCTGAAGCAAGGACTGTTGTGACGTTGCCCAACAATCATCGGGGATCTTCTGCATAAGCAGTTTATTAAGAACCACACACAGACACATACACACACACGCACACACGGTTTTCTCTTTCAGCAAGGATTGTCTTGCAGTCATCTGAACTGAATGTCACCTATCTCCTATCGCAGTGCCTGGCTACTCCCTACTAATCCTGTGTAACATCCTCTACTGGATGTACTTTGTATAAATTTGACTACAATGCGGAGCCTAAAACTGCCACCGAAAGCAGCAATTCAGCCTTCCTCCACTCAGCTCTCACCTCCAACCTTTCTGTACGCCAGCTCTTGCTGTGATCATGCAGTGAACCCGAGTAGTGAACTGATTTGACTGAGAAATAGCCTAAAATGGGGGTACGGGAGGCACACTTCAGCTGAATCATGTCCCCAGTCTGGTTTGCTGCATGGCCAAACAGTTCTGTGAGCGGAATGGTGGGGCAGGACAAGGATGGGAGCCGGGAACTGGGAAGAGAGCTCAATTTCTTTCAGTAGCAGTGCCAGCTTAAGATGTCTTCGTTAAACTACAGTTGTAGATGCACTGGGTGTTGGAAGCTGAGGTCCAAACATCTTGTAAAATTCTAAATAAAGGCAATGTACAGACAGAAACCTAAATAACACAACAGGTAGTCTGTGCTGAGAGGTGACAGAATGGAAATCACTTCAGCAGGCCCGACTGTCCTAACTTTGTGGCATTAAGACATTTAGTCTTGAAGGTTGTTAAACTGTGTTTACCTGGGGGACATGGGCCATGTGTGGCGGATTGGTATATGCAGGTTGAACATGGGAGGGATGAATGGTGAAGACTGTTTGTTGTGCTGTAGGAAAACTATTTTGTGGAGACTGCGTATTGGAGCCTGGCGTCATGGAAGGTGGGGTTGGAGCTAGACCTGCGTGGTAAATTGCCGACTGCTGTTGTGGGTTTGCCAGGTGGAGTGCCTGAGCAGCCTGGTGCTGATGATGCTGCAGGAAAAAAAAAAAAAAAAAGATAAAAGATCATTTAGGTTACGGTCTGGAAGAGAGACATGTTTATTCTGTGAACTAACATGAGAAAGGTTTGCAAAACTGCTCTCAATACTGAATCTTTTAAGTGGCAAATTAAAGATTTCAATTCCACTGGGTTCATTTTCTCCTTGCACTAAAAAAAAATCGCGTGAGCAGAAGTCTGGAAAACAGAACCCAGACTGCCAGGTAAAAACACGGAGAACCCGCAACCATGGAGCTGGATATCCTTCACAGTTGCACGAAAGCCTAAAGTTATTGCCAGTAGGTAACTATGGCACACAGCTCTGTCACGAGGCCTGTTTTGTTTTCAGCTGCTTGTCTTTCACAAAATATAATGAAATGCTTCTCAGTGTTTATTTATCTGCTCTTTCCAGTTGTACCTCCACTCATACTAAAGCTCTGGCAAAATGATGATCCACTGGAAACAAGCTACACCACATCCCCTGTTTAAAGCTCTGGCAAAATGATGATCCTTCCTCGATCATTAACATGGAAACAAGCTACACCACATCCCCTGTGAAGGGGGAAAAATGAACGGTTGGACCCTGAGACTGGTCCTTACTAAGGAAAGGGGACTGCCACCAGTTTCCCTGGTAGCTTATCTAACAAGCTGCGTCACGAGCCTACCACCTTTTGAGTCCTAGCCACTGCAAGCAGAGAAAATTACATAGCTCTACCTCCTCCATTCCCTCCTTCCAGAGAACAGGGGGGGTATCGAGACAAGCCCTGCATGAAATCTGCCACGTGCAGTTCATTTGGGCAACTGCTCCATCCTACCATTTTTCCTCTCAAGGAAACCAACGTATCGATGCCAAGCGTCAGACAGATGCAACACCTTCCAGTAGAGCACGTTAAATACGATTTCAAGACACTCAGTCCCTTGAGTTCTGTTACCTGCACGGGGCTAGGAGCAGGGTGGCTTCCAGCATGTTGGCTTTGCTGCTGGCCAGTTGGTGTAGCAGAAGGCTGAGGATGCGGAGGATGCGGATGCAGGGTAGCATTAGGGTGGGCATACTGCTGAGCAAGTGAGCCAGTGGAAACTAGGATGAAAAAGAATAATATTTAATAACAGACACAGAACATGAGTCTCATCAAGTCACCATCTGCACTTGAAGATTCCACTGTATCTCAAACATACTGTAAATATATTCCCTCCCCCTTCTAAAAAAAATATTTATCTTGCAAATAGCTGAGTCTCTTACCTTGCTTTTGTGTAGTTTGGTTTTGCAGGAAAGTCTATAAATAACCATAATTAGACAGTTCATCTTCCCTAGTTTGACAATGTAACAGATACTACATAGAAAAAAGCAGTATTTCATCTTTTGTTTTGTCAAACAGACCAGTTTAAAATATCAAATTTATCATTTTCATACAATTTAGTTTTTCCTGAAATATACTTTTCAAAGGTGTTACAAGCCATTTTTATTTCCACCATCCAAAAAAATTCTTTGGCCTTATACCTGGCTAACCTCACCATGCTACTCTTCTGGAAATTGCTCACAGTACAGTCAGTGTAAAGTATATTCACTGCATGTGTGCTTCAGAACTACAGGGACACACAGTATATACGTAACAGCTGAGAAAACTGAGGCTGCTTGAACATCAAATTTTTGCTGAAGGCAGTATCTTGTACTAAAATAAAGTATCTTGCCTCTCCCCTCAAGGCCAATTACAGAGTCTGTTCTGGATCACCACCGTTCTGTGAGCTTCTCAACGTTGCCATGAAATTCTTAATTCCTTGAAACGGTAGCAAATAAAGTACAAAATTCCAAAAAAGGAAAAAGCTTAACAACATCAAACTTTCACACCAGTGAAACCACATCTCTTGCTACAGCCACACCAGTCTCCAACAACAAACGAATATCAACGCATCCCTCCTTGAGGAGCCCTGCTCTATTCTGCTTCAAAACAGGCTTCAAAATAGTTTGGTCGTTTTTTGGTGGTTTTTTTTACTTTTGAGGGAGTCTAAGAAACTATGAAAAGCCATAATGATAGCAAGCCTTCCTTTAAACACAAAGCATGCAACCCGAAAGCAAAACTCTTAAGAAAATGAAGATGCTTTGCCTATTCCCCTCTAGTGCTTTTAGATCTTGTGCAACAACCAGTCCACCGCTTGCAACTCCACTTCTGCACGTGACAATGCGCACGACCCGCTCCAATAGTACAGCTTGTCAAGACCAAGGCTAGTTTTGCTGACCACAGCTCTAAAAGACAAAAACAGTCAAAGCAAACTATCAACTTGCTCCTGAATCAACCCTGCAACCGTTCCTTATTTGTTTTGCTGCCTTCTCGTTGTTCCGACTTCGTTTTTTTAACGGGGTTGGTATTATATGAGAACTTGATGGCCTGTCTGCAGCGTACCTTTAGCAGCGATGGGTTTTCTAGTGGCGTTGCCCCAGTAAACAAACCTGCAGAGCAGGGCACAGGGAGGAACTTCCAGTGCAACAGTTGAGCTGCAACCACCTGCCCCGTGTATTCACAGCTAGTGAGGAGCCTCATCTCACTTCTGCAAGTAACTGTCTGCTGCAGCTTCGGAAGAGTTCCACTGCGCTGGGCTCTAAGTTCACGAATAGACACAACTGCCTGAGCGTAAATAAAGGATGAAAGACAAAATGGGTGGAGAAAATGGACAAAAACGTAGCTGCATCTGAAAGCACAATACTACTCAGCAAAAGCAAGTCTCAAGAAGACAGCAACCCCGCTGTGCTCTGTTGACCAGCCCTGACACGCTGCTCCCCTCTGCAAATACTCGTTGTCCTCCAGTTTGGCTTGCTGTAAAGCTTACAAAGATGAGTTCTAACATATTCAAACTCGCCAGAATACATGTAGACAGTATCTTTTTGCCTAATTGAGATTTTCCTCCCCTGTACAGGCCACTATGAAGGTTTCTCCTTTAGAAAATAACTGCCCGCTACATTTAATTTAATCCCTCCCTGCTGTCTTGCAAGCTCGATTAAATCTTCACTGAACAAATGGTCTAACAGTGACGTGCACTAGAGTTTCAGGCTATTAATGCAGATGAACTTCATATACCTTTGTAACCCTAAATTCTTGCAGTCTGAGTTGTTCTTAACATACTCATCCATCAGCATGTAAGTGTACAAGCATACTCACACACTATGAGCGCTTCTGATTGAGAGGGGTGTTGAAAACACCTCAATATTTTCTATGCACACTGTCAAAACTACCAGTATCTTCTGCTATAGCACTTTGTTAGGCTTTCAAATGCAAGAAAAGTTTGGCTTTTTTTTTTTTTCATATCACTACTAAAATGCATTTTGCAGCAGCATCCCCATGGGCTTCTATTTGACTTTCAAACATCGCTCCTTCTTACGATGACTACGTGAAAATTATCAGTGGAAACACTGATCATTTTTACAGTCTGAAGTTTACCACTTCCTACAGTAGGAAAATTTCTCAACCTCGTTATTATACACACTCTGAAGAAGGCCAAAAGTTATTATCTCTGGCAAAGTAGCAGAAATAAATGCATAGAGGGATTCGCTTGCTTGCCAAAGGGCATGCTACCAGAAATCTTCCTCGGCTCTCATCCCACTGCCTCAGCCACAGAGCTGGCGCGCCTGACTACAAATGAACTTCGACTCCATCCAAGAGGTTTTAAAATGTATATGAAAATTAATTCCAAGCGGTAAGATATTCAAGGCTTCCCACATCCTGCCACACCACTTGTTAAGAGCCCCTAAAATAACGCGGTACTCCCTTAAACCATTTGTGCAATTCATCTTTCATTTCTGTATAGCCGAGAGAATAATAAACTAAGTTATTCTGAAACAGATACATTAATACAATAAAACTTTACAATGAAGAATTTCTCTCTTAAGAAACCAGTTAAACTGGGGAACAGTACTCTAAAGAACAGTTACGGGAGTGGGGGGAGGATCAGGTTTTTGTCATAGTAGCAGCTCTTCCATAACCTTCCAGTATCTTTTATCCATAGCTTTGCATTTAAACTACTAGATTTTTTATACTGAAGAATTTGTATTTGCCTAGCTTCTCCTCTCCCCCATTTTGTCTTTAACAGATTGCTATAAAGCTCTACCAGTTTGGTTAAAACTAGTTCAGATGCTGCTGCAAATTAGTTACATTTTAATAGTATTAAAAGTGCCTTTCAAAAAGTGTTATTTACTCATCTAAATCCTGTACTGATACTGCATACGAATGAAGAACGGTTCAGGGCGAGTGGCTGCAAGTCTGAAATACGTGCACAGGTCTTCGTGAGTTCAAAACCAGAGTTCAAACTTCAACTCCAGAAATGTGAAAGGTTTTCCATGTTTAGCCAGTGCAATTAATAGTTCGTGACAAGCCAATGAAATCCGTGAGACTAGCAAGCCTGTGAAAGAAGTCTTGCAAAACAGTCATGAGAAATTCAACCGCTGAGCCATAACTAAAGCACTTTCACTGTGACTTTTTCCAAGAATTTTTGCCTGTTCATCAAAACAGCTCACTACACATATCAAATAGCAAGCACGGTAAGACACGGGGTGAAAAAAAAAAAACCCAAAAAATATATTAAAAAAAAAAAATCGCCAATTATCCAACATCCAAAAATCACCAATCATCCAAAATTATCCCCAGTTGTCAGTACTCTGGAGATTTTCCAAACAGTCATCTAATATCCAAAAAAGCGCTGAGAAAGCTCTAGGAAAGGACAACACAAATCTGCCTATCTCCTTGCTGCAAGAAACCTCAGCTCATTCCAGCAGAAACACACTGTTTTTCTCACCCTTTATGCCTCAAGTTCCTCTCCCCGAGAAACACTCCCTGGGCTAACCTGCTTCACTTCAGCATCTTTTTCATCGAGTCAGTTCCTAACGTGAAATATTTAACTGCGCTAACCTTGCAGGGATACACAGCGGAGATAAGTGATTCAGTAACGAAGTGAGCAAAAATATCAGACGGATTGAATTACCGAATTCAACTCTACAAAGGAGCAACCCATTTTTCTGAGAGGCAAGCAAATAGCAGTCAGCCACCAAACCCACAGAAGGAGCTGAAATCAAAAGAGGTCAGAGCAGCAGAAATCAAGCAGAACTCCCAGCTACAAGGGTAAATGCAAAACCCGTGTTAAATGTAATTTCCTATTTTCCCTGGTAGGAATTTCAATGCTGCCAATGGTGGTCATCGTTGGTCATCGTCCAAAGATGCACTGAAGAGCCTATTTGCAAGAACTGACCAGTGAACAAACTTCAAAACTATTGCCAGACCCAGTAAGATGGTGAGGATAACTACATTTAAAAGACCTGAATGGTAGGAAGCAAAGAAATAGCAAATGTTTCTTTCATCATACAAACATTTAAAGAAGTCATTTTACACAGGTAGAGTGGACTCCACTTAAAAGATTATCCATGAAAGGAACGAGCTTATTAAAGTTATTTCAGTGCACCAAACCAAGACGCATGAAAACAGGACAGGTCAGCATCCTACAACGCTAGCTCACGCAGAACCATTTCTGTACAAGAAACACAGGAAGTCTGTTCCAGAAGAGATTTTTGGAGAACAAGTGGTATTTCTCACATCCCTATTACGTGAGCTAACTCAAAAAAAAAAACCCCAAAAGAGTGCCTGGCATAGAGCGCGTGGACTTGCAGACAGACACAGCAACAAGTCTCACTGCAGGACAGGAGCAAGTATGAAAATACCCTGAAACTGCAAGTCCTCCTTTCCCACGTCTTGGGTGACAGCTACAGTTCACCCTGCAACCCTACGCCAAAAAAACCCCAGCTTCCTCAAAGTGCTACGATGAACACCAACATCCAAGGCAGTGTTTTTAAGTTATCTGCCTTTTCCAGTACACATAGGCAACTGAAGTCTGTACTGGCTGTTGTGTACGGAGAATATGGAGAACATCAGCCCCACTCGCGTTGCTTATGCTGACGTAGGTCACCAGCAACACCGCACAGGAGCACCGGAGCCGAGTGACGTAACCGATAATGTCCATCTGCCAAGGAGGAAGCAGGCGATGCTACGCACGGGCAAGGAGCCCTTGTCACTCTTGTTATCATAGTGACAAAGCGCACTGCTCACAGCACTCCTTCAGTGGCACCAAAGTAACTCCACAGAAAGCTTCCCTCACCTCAGCTGCAACTCAAGTTATTTCCTCCCAGGGGCTCGGGACTCGAGCCACAGCTTTTTTTAAAGAGATGAGGCACAAGATACTTCTCCTTTCAGGAAGCCAAGTTTTAAAGATCCCGTTTGGACCAGGAAGGAAAAGGAGCGAGGCAGTTCCCCTCGGTTTTAAGCAGAGGCTATCCACATGCAGCGCTCACTTGTGGTTACAGAAGAAAAGACTGGGTAGTAAAATCAGAAATCATTCAACGTGCAAAATACATTTTAAAAAACTAACAAAGCAGCTTCCTGCTGTCAGATAAATCTGTTCAACTGCTTCATCCCCTCGTCCATTGAAAGGAACCTTCCTGCGTTTTCCACATACTGGTTTGGTGCAAGGAAACTTGTTCCCTCAACACGTCCCATTCCTTTAACATCTGTTCTTTAGAAAGTGCTTTTCTGTACAATCAAAATTAGTACAAAAAACCCAACTCACTGGCAAAGTAGAAAGAAGGGCCTGTCTCCTTGCTGTATGGTATTTTGGGACATGCTGAATTTGGGAAATAGAAAGGTAAATTAGCCTCTTGCCACGTGCATACTTCCCGTCTTCTGGAAAGGTCAGCGTCTTTTTTTTGGTTTTAGATTGCAGAACCATGCAGATATTTTTATTTACTTAGGTGCTATTAGAGCTGGATATTTAGTTTTACAAATGAGTGGAGATGAAACAACAAGTCTCAAAGTAAGCCTTCCTTCTTAACTGTGACACTGAGGTCTTCAGTTCTTAATTAACACAACAACAAACTTTATGTCAATTAATGGTCTATTACAGTGCACTGTAATAAGAAGGTTAAAACGTAATTACACTAAAACAGAAATTGGCCCCTTGCTTTTTCAGCTATAGCACTGTCATCCTTAACAGTTCCAAGACACCTTTGGTGACTGGTTCACTCTTAGTCCCTGGAGAATCCTCTGCAGTTTATATTATATCCACCATTGTACTATCAGGGTAATAGAATTTACTCTACTGCTGAGACAGAAACCAGATAAAGTTAGAGACAACACCAGACCAGTAAAACATGTGCAGAAGGGGAAAGGGGAAGGGAGAATGGGGACAGGAATGAGAGCACAAAAAACAGGAAATGCATCTGTATAAAACCAAGGGCTGGTTTTACACAAGTTCGTTTTTAAACACAAAAGTTAAGCTTTTCAGAAGACTCCAGTTATCTGAAAACACAGGCAATTCAGCTACATGGTAAAACTCACACAAGTTCATTGTCACAGGAATGCGCATATCCACCCTCTAGTCAGATAACCACATTTTCTACTAACAGCACAAGACAAGTTTGGGCCTTTGTGCGACAGACCAAGCGGTCAAGCTGCAAACCGTGGCCAGCAAACTCCACCGGCCCAGTAACATTGGTATCAGGGAGATGACACAGAGCCAACGCTTCCAAGACAGACAGTACGGTCCGAAACCAACGTGCAGTTTAGCAGGGTAAGAACAACAACTCCGCGTTCAGGTGTGTGCGTGTGGCAGTTAAAGGTGTGCGTACTGCTCTGCTTCAGCAGTGCCTGCATCGCGAGCTTCCCTTGACAAGAACATCTGAGTGGCTCACGTCTCCAGAAGTTACAAGCTGAAGTGTGGAACAGACGTTTTTATCGTCTGGGCTGTTAGACGGGAAGCAAGACAGTTGCTTGAACATCGTCTTTCCCAATTGTGTTTCGAGGGGAAAAAACCCAATGATTTAAACACTCCTCCGTCATGTGTTTAGATGGGTCTACAGGTGACCACACAGCTCAGCTGCTCGGCTTCTCTTGAGCTCTTGTCAACAGCGGGTTGTGAAACAGAAGCAGGACACTGTAACGACTGGCAAAGAAATCCCAGAAGTGCAGAAATATCCCATGAAACAGCATTAGACAAAAATACGTTTCTTTAAGCTGGAAGAGTGCTTATCAACAAGTGTAGGTCACTGTATGTATTTCAGATTCAGCTATCTCTTCACGAGACAGGAAAGAAAACAAACCCCAAACTTTTGGGAGTGAGTGTAGTTCACTTAACAGATCAACAGGCACTTCTCTTCGCTGGCAGGCAGTTACTACTTGCCACAGACTTTCAACTCGTCCCAAACCGTTAGCGAAGATGGAGCTTCAGATCTCACCAGAAAACATTTCACACCTTACGAATACTTCATAAGCAGCGCCCCCCAGCCCCCACGTCTCAGTGCGGTTGTCTTTGCAGACATCTTCTTTCTACCACATACGTAGGGAAAAAAAACGTGTGAATTTTGCAAGAATTACCTCAAAGAAAGCACTAGTACCTTGAGGGATAACAGGGCGCTACAGCCCACTGCATCCTGATACCAACGGGGGGGTGAGGAAATAAATTAAAAAATAATAATAATAAAAAAATAATCAGAGAGTAATTTTAAAGAGCCAAGAGGAACTTGTTTGAGCAAGTGCTCCAGAAATCAAAAGCAGCAGTGGTTGCTGTTTCTCAGGAGGTTGTTATTCTGTACTTTCAAATTAGTTTTAAAAGAGGACCAGAATCAATGTGCATTGGTACATTTAGTTCAAAGATACTGTGGGTAAACTTAAGAGTCCCAAAATACAGAACATAAGTTACGGATACTTTCTTATAGTCACTCAATCAGACGTGAACGATTCCAGCACGTTGTTCTTTAGCAATGTCCTCCATAAGCAGCACATATTTGTCACCTTAAGCATTTCTACATTTTTCCCAAGCGTTCCCGTATTGATAAATGGAAGCTGCAGTGAATACATTACAGATGGACACAGTTTGAGGACACACAATCCGTCTAGAGGCAACATCTTCAAGTACCCAGCACTTGCGAAGACTTGCGAAAATCTGAACTGAGACAGTGCTGCCCTATGTGAGAAGTCATTTCATGTGTAGCTAACGGTAAACTTTGTAGGTTAAGGGTACGCTTCAGCCAATTCGTGTTCACCAGGCAATAAACACGTTTGCACATGGCAAGACTTAAATACTCTTTAAAAAAAAAAAGCAACTCATATGGAGTTCATGATCCAGTTGGGTTGAACTGTTTCAATAACAAGAATTTCAAGCACTTGATCATTTACTGGGAAGGTGGGAGAGGGTTTAGAAGAGTCACCAAGTAGCTACGTGAAAGAACACAGGAGGACATGCAATTTCTGTCAAATTAGGTGCTCTTGGAAAAATTGTATTTAACTACATGGCAGGAGATACCAAAGAATTCTCAAGTTTAACCCAATTTAGTTGTTTGCACTAGTAGGTAGTCACATACCTACAACACATAAGCTGCAAAACCAACACAAAATGAGATCTAACAGTTGTAAGTTAGAATATCAGTGAAAAAACTATACAGACATCTCATCAAAGCCGACCAAGGGAATGGGCTCGGACTTCAATGCTGTAGAACCCCCTGGATACAGAAGATAAGGATGGTGCACAACGGGAGATTGCTAGGAAGTCACATGCAACCATTCTGAATCAAATCTCAGCTTATCTCATGTTTGGTTTTATTTTAATTGGGATTTGAGAGGAGAGTTTTCACCAATAAAGGTCTGAAAGGCTTTGATCATTCACTTTATCGGAATTCTATTTAATCTAATGAAAAAGCAAACAGAAGATCTGTTTACATGGACACCTCAAGCACGAGAGTTGAAAAGATCAAAGTAATACAATTAGCAAGGACCTGTGAAAGAAAGACTTAATCTCTACAAGTAACTTCCATTTCAGCTTCAGCACAAACGAGCTGAAATGTTCTTCTTCCAAGGGTCAAAAAAGGTGTCTCTCTATTATTTTTGTCTCTTAGCTATGTTGCCATACCACTGCAGAGATCTGACAGGATGTTTTCAGATGGGTAAGACACAGATTTTTAAAATCAGAATTAATTTCACACTAAACTTCAGAGTCTTAGCCTTGTAAGTTTTCGTGACACATCACGGACTTCCATGAAGTAGCAGTGTAAAACTAAGCACCGGAAAACATACAAAGATGTCTAAAGGTACAGAAAATCTTTTATTAGAATCTAAGTCAATAATATACGTGACCCAATAAAAGTCTTCCTCAGATGCTATAACAAGTATTGAAATGCCACGTTTTCAAGAGACCATCTGCTGTTTTGACATTTTATGACAATTTCCAAGCCTTCTAGCAACCTTGATTCTACCTCTTTCAATAGCATGTTTTGCAGTGAGGTTTTTTTTCCTCTGAATTGGGCATTGATTTATCATACATTTATAACGCTTTAGAAGTTCTTTCACATTTTACTTTGTAACAAGGTAACCCACATTTTCAGCACTTCACTGTAAGTGAAATACGCCCATCTGATAATGCTGGAGACTAATTGTCAAAGTCAGAGCAATACACGAGCTGTTTCATATACTTATTCTTGACTTACCAAAAAGGAAAGGTAAGCAACACAAGTTTTATTTTGCTTAAACAGCAGTGTTCATACTGTTAATAATGCTAGTAGTATCATAAAGACAGCATTTCACTAGTTGTCAGAACTAAAGTCAAGTTTTGAAACTGAGGTCATAGCCTTGCAATAAAACAAGTCCTAATTATAATCAAGAAACAATCAAGGGATGTTGTGTCAAGAGCATCAAGAGAACTTGAACAAACTTCTTTCAGTAGATATTCTTTAGCAGCTCCCAGGTTGAAATTTCATCTTGGTCACTGGCATCCTACTGAAATCAGCATACTTGAGTTTTCATTTTAACCAGGTGGCTCAGCTTTCAATGCTCTGCTCATCATCTTACGAAATATAAACCACATTTACTGGTGTAATCTGAGTGATACCCATGTTTGAAGCTTGAGATTAAATACATCCCTGCACAACGTAAGAACTTAAAAAGTTACATATAACACAAAACGTTTCCTACCATACATAGCATGCGTCTGTTCATGCGCACCATACTGTGTTGCAGAAGAAGATACTAAACCAGGCTGTGCGTGTGTTGGTGGTGCCATCATTCTAGCGTTGCCCTGTATTACAGGGCTATAAACATGAGGATGCTGCATTCAACAGAAATAAGAAAACAGACGGTTAATCGGGGGACCGTTACAAAGAAACTAGGCTCATCTAATCAATAATTACGTATCTAGAAACAGACATAGCTTGGCCTTACTGAAGCGCAGAGCAAACTGAATGTTTCATACTATCACAATTACCCCAATTGCTTCTAAAAATTTAAGGACATTTTCTGCAGTGGGCTAGAAATTGACAAAAAGCATTGGCACATCTCATTTTTGCCACTAACAATGTAGGAATCTTAGGTATGTAATTATATATTTATACGATTACATATGTATATTTAAAAGACTTTGAAGTAAGGGGAGTACACCAAACAGTTTATTTTTAGAACACACAACTAGGAGATGGCCACGACCTGAAAGGAATTCTTCAAAGAGCGAAAAAGGCAGTATCAATAATAAACGCCAACTTCTAAACTGACCCTAAAATTTGTTACAGGCTTTGAAGCACATTACACCACCACCAAGCATGCTCCAGAACACAGAAACGGTTCGGAGTGACTTCTTATGACTGGAGACAACAGGGTATTTAGGACTGAGCCACTTAATTATGTCAGTTTTGACTTATTACGTACGCTAAAAGGACTCTTACCTGAGACTGGTAGTGTGGCACATGCTGCACAAGAGGCTGATTAGGAAACTGTTGGGGACTATACGCAACATATTGTGTTGAATAAGCAGGTGGCGTAGCTACAATTGGAGGGCCTGCTGCTGAGGCAGGATGCATCATGGTGCTCTGATGGTGTTGGTCTTGCCGTTGCTGTGGCATATTTGGTACTACAAAGCAAAGAGGGCCTCACGTTAGAAACACAGGACGAAGAATGGCCGTCTTCCTGAAAGGTTTTACATGACAACTTCACCGTGACCGAGCGGAATACCCTCACCCCTCACCTTTAACCACGTATTAGAGCTCTATCAAAAAGGAACAGCGTGTAAAGGAGTTCCTCCAAGAAACATTTGGTTTTCAACACTGCCTTTGAGCCATGTATACGGCCACAAACCCACGCTGGCTTTTTTTGTGAAGGAAGGAAGAAAGGTGGAGGGAGAGAAAGACTGAGAAGAATCAGTAACAGAAGGGAAAGGTTATATCAGGATACCTACATTAATCACATTTGATCCTGTCCCCTTCAAAAGGCTTAATTCACCCTCTATGGGAACTACTCAGCAACTCTGCCATCAACTGGAAAGCTGAGTCCGTTAAAATTACTTGCGCTTATAGCTGAGGAGAGCACAATAAAGGTCTCCACGCAGCTGCAATTTGAGGTATTGACGTCTTTTAAGCTCTGTGCTACCCCTCAGGATAGCAGAAAGCAACTTTTAGGTCACGGTCAACACTGAAGGGGACAAGTCAACCTACAAGAAGAGGAGGAGTAGGAATAAGTAGAGGGAAGAAAGATGAAGAGAGCAGAGCACTGTAGTGTGGAACTACCTGAGCTACCCTGGTAAGACGACCAACTGAACCACAGCAGCAAGGCACTCGGAACAAACTAATCCAGCCTACTAAGCAACAGGGCGTGAGAGTTCAAGGTGAGCTCCAGCTTGCTGCAGTGAGACTGCAACTAATAACTACGCTAACTCAAGCACCTGGAAACTCCACTGCCGTGTGCAATGTAGACAGACCCCTTAGAGAGAGGAAAGGAGGGAAATGTTGAAGATGTCAGTAAATTCTCTCAATTAGGATTGTATTTACACTGCAAATCAACAATAGAAAAAAGTAAATACAGGACCTAACTTGAACAGCCTAAAGGCACTGAACTTCAACCCACGCAGCTCCTTCAGGACTATGCTGCACGCAGAACGGATATGCAGAAAATGACGACACGTAAAAAAGGAATTCACAATAGGAGAGTGGCCTCACGCAGCAAGTGAGTACACAGCAATATATTTCTTAATAAAACAATCAGTGTTACCAACCGAAAGATTTCATGGGTCAGGCCACAGTAAAGTTAGTGTGCTTTAAAACAGAAATACATTGCAGGTTTTTGTCTTCCCTACGTTCATAAAGGCTACTTGTTTATTTCCAAACAGCAGAACTGCTCTTTTAAACAATTTCCTCCTCCAGTGACTGGAGCTGCAGCACTGGAACCTATCATGATGAACCACTCTATAAAACTGCAAGAAAGCACGCACTGTGTAGAATTAGAGCATTATCTGAAACATGACTGTAAAAACAAGACCGTCATTTTTCTGCTCCTTCACTGCACTGCACAGAAGAGAGCGCATCTCGCCACACATGTTCTTGTCTCCATAGCCACAGGTGTCACTTATTAAAAACACGGTATTGTCAGTCCAGCTGTTCAGTCACTGTTGCAGAAGGAATGCAAAAGAACAAACTGGAACCAGCAGCAAGTTCTTTACAGAAGAGTGGCATAGCATACTCTTTCTGAAGAAACAACGATTTTGCTTGTTGACAAAAAAAAACCCTCTACAAAAACACCGCTCAGGCCTCTGCTGTAAACCAGTACAGAAAGTTCCCTTTAACCAAACCTGTAACATTTATGAAATATAGGAGACGATCAGCTGACCCTAACCTTCCAAGTAACAGAGCTGCGTCTTCCCATTCATCAAACCAGACTCCAAACCAAGCAACTCCCCATTCCTCAAACTTCTGGCTGAATTAGTCTATTTAGAAATGCATTACTATTTCCACTTACTTCCCTTTATGAACAATTGCATTTAAAATATCAATCGAAACCAAATTAACATGGATTAGAAAATACACAAACATTTGTAATTTATTCATGCTGCATGCAGACTAAGAACCAAACAGGCAGTATTATTCTCACCTTTACCTGCTCTATATGTCTTGGCTTGGTTCACTGGCATGGGCGTCATGGGAATAGGATACAAAGGCTGAAACAGAAGGAGGAGTCGAAGCTGTGATATTCCTTTAAAAAGTCACCGTGTCTCTGGGTGGGGGCCCCACTCAGCTTTGATGTGTTTTACGTTACATGGTTTAGTGAACTCTGCCTAACCTATGATATTTTCTTGGATCGCTGTGATGAAGTCTGCATGTACAAACAACTAAGACCATATGGTTTGCAACAACCAGTCAAGTAATGATACTACTGCTACTTCAAGCGATGTACCAAATCGGACAGCTTTGTAACAGTTAGATTTGAAATCCCAGTAACCCCTACAACGGCCAGAAACTAGTGGGACACAGCTGGAAACTAAAGACGAAGAAACAGTTGCTTAAAACTTAAGAGAATAAGACGACTACGCTTGGAGGACTGGGGAGGAAGTCTGCCCGAATTAACAATAAATGTGAGTGAGAGCTGCTGGAATTTACAAGTGTTTGAGACTGTTGGAACATCTAGGTTGAGGGAGCACCGGGAAAAGTCAGTATTTACATAGCTAAAACTTAACAACATTGTAGCTGTACCTATATTTACAAGAGTAATAATACAAGTTGTACCATCTCACTCTTAACTTGGATCTCCCAAGTCTCCTCAACTTGCAGACAATGATTATCTGAAAAGCGTTAACAAGTTTGCAGCATACGCTGCGCTTTACCTGCACGCCTGGACTCACTGGAACCGGGTACATCATATTTGGTGCAAAACAAACAGGCTGAGTGTACACTGGGGTTGGCTGCTGATGACCCACCATGGAGGGGCTGGGCTGAGCTTGCGGACGAGGGGAGGTTGGTGTAGTAGAAGGTTTCGGCTACAAACAGAGTTCAGCAACGCATAAGCAAGATGAGCTTGATTATCCTCCAAAGAAAAGGTTCGTTTATAAAGATCTACTCAAAGGCAACGTTAAACTGTATCAAGTAACTTACTTGAGCAAAAGATCGAGGGTTGAACTCTTTTGCATTCGGATTAAGTGTTGATTTTCTAACTTGCCTAAACACAAAGAACAAAAAATTGTGTTCAGCATTATTCTTTTACAAGCGTATCTGCAGAACTCCCTAACAATCAAAAATTTAAAGAGATGAAATACCTCATTTCCATCTGTGAGTCAGATTTTTGAGAACTCAACAATACATGGCATGCAAAAAGCCGCTCTTACTGACAGTACTCTTACTATAATTGTCCATAAAAAAGTTTTCCTGTTGTTGATCCTACAGCTCACGTGAGCCGGGAAAAACATTTAAATAAGCATTTAGATATGGATTAGGTATCAACAGGACCAGAGTTCTACGTGCAGCTCTGCCACTGACTCATGACATAACTTTCAGTACAGTCACTTCACCCCTCTGTAAACAGAGGAAACTTCTATCAGCCATTTAAACAGTAAAATATTACACATTCCTAATAGCTTTTTCTACAAATGGCTAAATGCTAATAACAGATGTGCTTATTCTAAAAGGCATAATTACTCACTCAGAAGTATCTTTCTTCTCCTCTTTATCCTCTTTATCTTGTTTACTTCCAGGCCCAGATGTCTGTACACCTTGTGAAGTTACCTCAGGCCCTCGCTTTTGCTCAGAACTATTACTTATCGAAGGAGAAATACTCGGACTATTAGGTTTGCTACTGCCACCGTTAGAGTTAGTATTACTGCCAGTTTCTATGATAGATTCTTTAGGGGTTGATTCTGTCTTTTCTTTAACTACATCTCTTGATTTTTCACCTTCTCGGGTTTTGTTTAGCAGCTGATCCACTGCATCTGAAGAAGAACTCGACTGTAACTGAAAAAAACCCCAAAGAATATATTCAGTAAATTGATATACAGAACCAGGGAGAGAATCTAATGCTATCACATACACAGAGAAAAATACAGCCCCATAGGCCTCAATCACCTGGAAATAACCTTTCAAAACATACATTTCCATTTCTACTCGAAAAGAAATCTATGAACATTGACAATGTTTTAAGCCTACACTGGGAAAGAAGCTATTCAGTGACTCAACTGACCTATATGTTGATTAGAAAGGGACAGGAAAGCTTAAGACAACCCTCTGGACTCATCCACCTGTGTGATTTAACAGCACCACTTGAAAAGCTAACCTGATTTAATAAACCATTATAACCACGAAATTAGTATGAATTAATCTTCCATTTTCCTCTGCAAAACCCTGTATTTAATTTTGAAACAGCTCTTCCATATGGAGTGTAAATGTGATAATTATTTGTATCTAATGATCAAACAGCTCTCAAGTACTATCTTCAGTGTACAGTCAATATGCGCATTTACATGTATTAGGCAATTGTATCAGCAAGAGTCAGCATTGATTTTATAATACCTAGCATGAATTCTTATAGATATTTTCATAGATTAAGCACGAGTCATAAGGAGCTGTTCTCCTGTTAACAATGCAGTGTATTCAATTCACCAAAATAATCCGGATGCGCACACGAACTATGATTAAGTTAACATACAGAGAAACTTACCCTAAAGTCATTCTTAAATTTCTTTAAATCATCAATCTGTTTTCTATGTTCTGAAACAATTGGAGATACACCTGCCAAATATAAGACCAACATTGTCCAAGCATTTCTAATACAAGTTTTATATACAGCCTCTACACACTAAGTTTGCAAAATAAGTAATGTTTGCGTATCTAAAAACGAAATACTGTGGTATTTCATCTCTAATTTCATATAATTTAATGAACTATGTGTAAGAGCATACAAAAATAGTCCGTGAAACCACAGCATTACATAACTAACATCTCTATAGTTCTAATGCATCACACCAAGAGAGAAGCCCTGAGGTGCAGGGACTGCAGAACTCAGTTGAACACAAAGCAGCATGCAAGAAAACCCTCAAAACATAAGATGCCAGCGTTTCAAGGCACAGCCAGTGAAGGTGAAACACTGATCAACGTTAGGTTTACAGCTGGACTCGATGATCTTAAAGGTCTTTTCCAACATAAATGATGCTATGATTCAAGTTCAGCAACACGTAAAGATTTTTTTGAGAACTGAATGAACAAACAATGCTGCAGAAAAAGCCACATTTAAGAACTGGAAGAGGTACAGTTATAAAAAACTACGCTGACCACGATGCTCAGAAGTATTGTGAGCATAGCTCTAAGGAGAAACACTCATTCAGTTCAAAGACAGCTAAAAAACAGCTTTGTGAGCAGGAAAAAGAAAGAAAAAGAAGAAAAAATAAAAGAGGGAAGAAAAAAGAAAGAAAACTAGTGAAAAGAAATCACACCATCCACATGAGCATCTCTATGCTTTGCGTTGATGAAATGAGTCAAGAACAACATTTAAAATTGTAGGCCTGCCACTTCACAACTGCATGACAGATTGTCTCCAACTCTTCCTTAAAAGCTGTCAATATAGCAGGTTTAGTGCTTGAATTCCTACATTACTCAAGTATGTATGAAAGCTTTCAATACAAACCTTTGTTTTCAGGTTTAGGAAAACTAGGAGAAGTCTCACTTGGCTTTATATTCTCCTTGTTTCCAGTCGCAGAATTTTGCCTCTGGTCCTGAAGCCTAGTATCTTTAGCTAGAAAAGAAATTGCCAAAGTTATTCTCTTATACACAACTCAAACTGACCAAAGAGAAATTGCAAGACAGAAACAGAACAGAAATTTAACCATGTTTAGCTTACAAAAGAAAAATCTAGAGCTACACATTTTCTGCTACCTAGTTTATGCACGCTACACAGATTTGAGAGTTCTTAGACATTTGATTGTGCTCTTGAATGTTTTTTTCCACTTTCACTACGCTCAAATATCCTTTGAAATCAGCGGCCTACGTTTCTTTACATTAGAAAACAGCCAGGCACTCAGTCTGAAAAAAATCCTCAATTAAGTCAAACACCTATGAGCCTGTGTTCCTTGAAGGGCAGAAGAAATTAAGCACACAGACTTAAGCACACTCCAGCCTTAGCATACAGTTAAGCGTCACGAGAAAAGTGGAACTCACTACACAGTAAAATTAAATGCATCATTTAGAAAGCAGCTTTGCTCTTCCATAGGCACGTTCATTGTCAGGGATTCGCGAAAGGGAGCATTTCCAAGCCAGCAAGGGTAACTTACCTTCGCTAGAAGGGGTAACTGCTCTGTTGGATGCAGGGCTGGCAGGTGTAGGAGAGGCAGCTGGAACAGGCATGGCAACGGATTCAGTGGGAATAGTACCAGGCTGAGGAGAAGGCAGAGCCGGTCCCGTGGGAGTGCTGCTCTGCCTTGGAGACCTAGGCCTGTGTGTTTTAGGGGATAATCTCGGAACTAGAAACAAACAGGAAAAAATAGTTATAGGATAAGTTTCCTCATCTGCTCAGCAGCTTGCTTATTTTTAAAATGACTAAAAGCATGCTTTAAAATACTTAGTGGGACATTATATAGTAATTGAAAACCTGTTTACCTTTCAGGTACATCTCCTAGCTCTTTACAACGCAGCATTTCAGATAAGCGGTGCGATTTTTCTGCAGACTGTCCCCTACTATATATCACTGCCCTGTAGTCCCACCACAAAACTGCAGTATGCTCCCCCAGCCCCCCAGCAGTACAACTACAACAGCTCACATTAACACAGTTTCAGGCAGAACAGAAAAGGTGGTCAGGTCTCCATACAAACAGATGTAAAACATTTTTAAAAGGGCTGAAAAAACACATCCATTTTACAGCGTCCTCTTTTGGAGGTTTGCCAGCTGAAAAAAAAACAACATAGCCTATTGAAAGAGGATTATTTGATGTATATTTTTGCCCCTGTGTCAAAGCAGCAAGGAAAGTTGTATTTTCTTTAAACGATAAGTTGTACCTCCTGCTTCCTGCTCATCCCACTGTTGCTAGTTAGTTGCTTTATGTCATATATTAACTTCAAGTGAGTGAGGAGAAAGAGATAGGTCGTTTAACAGTCCTACTTGCATGTTAATAATATATAAAGTGGGGGACGGGGAGGGAAGATGAATCAGAGATAATGCCAGAACAGAAGAGTTTAAATCTTTTCCACAAGGCAACAGGTCTATGGGGGTCTAATTCATACCTTCTTTCTGAAAAAGGCATTCCCACTGCACTCCTCCAGAATTCTAGCACTGCTAAAAAGGATCAGACTCTGAACTGTTGCTTACTTGCCCTTCGACTCCAGAAAGTGCCCAGCTGCTGACAACTCCCTCGAACATGGTCCCAACTACAAAAGCTTGAAACTAGAGCCTGTGTCACAAGACTGAGCTTTAAATTTGAAGTCAAATGTTATTAAAAAGATGTTAACTGATTCAAAAAAGAGAGAGACACTGACTATACCTGCTGCTACAGTACTTCGACAAACACAAAATGACCACTTAAAACCTGCATCATTTTAAAAGGAAAAATATAACCAACTTAACTTGAATGTGATTTCATCTTTTCTTTCAACACCAACCTTCCTCTATCCAAACAACCTCCTTCACTTGTAAACCACAACCCAGTAACACTGCCATTAACCAACTTCAGTGATGCAATGGAACATATATAACTTTTCTTCTTTCCAATAACTTCCCTGCAAATGACTTCTTTCAACAACTAATTCCCACATTTTTCTATCCTTTCTCTTCATACACCATCTGACTTAACTTCTCCGCAGTTAAGACAATATCGCACTTGAAGGACCGACTCACCAACTACTTTAACTGAGCTATCTGGAAACATCCTTCTCCCAGTTCATTTACGCACGCTAAGTTAGCAGACCAGTGTTTATTCAGAGCCTGAATTGTCTATAAATGCAGTATTCTGCTTAGCATTCACACTCTAAAGTGCCCCTGGCAAGCCATCTGCAATAAGCCAAGCTTTACCTACCCCCACTGACAACTGATGACCACGTCCCACCTGAAGGGCTGCCTCGTGCCACTGCAGTAGTAGATGCTTCCCCTGGTGCATTATGAGATACAAATTCTAAGCCACTTGAAATTGTACCCCTACCAGTAGAGACTCTGTGACCTCGAGGGTGCCGTTGTGCCTTAGGAGACATCCGTGGAGGCCCTGAGAAAAAAAGACAACCCCACACAATGAGTACTTAACATCCATCGCTAAGAGTACCCAAACACACTATCTGTTAACTCTCAATAATGCAGTAATACAGTCAAGCAATTTACACTGACAGTGACCAGAACCAGGGATCCAGCAGACTAAAAAGGCCAAGCCATTGGTCCAGCCAGACTACCAACACACTCGCCACCTCGCTACGACAGCTCGTGTTCATTGACGTTTAGAAGCTTTATCAGAATTGAAACAGGTAAGTCCTGGATTTAAAATATTTGAATCCAAATATCCAACATCGCTTACTGCAAGACAAGCCAAAAAGGCTAGTGGCCCAGCTCCCTCTGGATAAGCACAGTTCCAGGCTATGAAACATTTTCCAGAAAGGAAAAAAATTTCCACTGCTTGTGTCAGGTGGTCAGTGATACCAAACATTTATTTACAGAGTAGTCACCACTGGCTGACCAATGCTCTTGGGGAATTTCAGCAGAGCTTTGTGCACCGAGGCTAAACTGCCTGCAGCAGGTCACAATTCATTTACAAGTCAGCAAAACTGCAACTAAACAAGTGATTGTTATCCCAAGGTTCAAGTCATGCATGTTTAACGCCAGAAACTAAAGTCATAAGTGAATACGGTAGTTCTGAACAGCTTATACAGCTGCCACAGAAGTGTTATGCTCAAGTCTAAGCGGCAATACAGTTTGTACATCCTAACAAACATTTTCTTTACAAGATCAGATTCAAATGTTGATACTTCAAAAGGAAAAACTGTGTGTGAATAGAAGATAATCTGGCTGATTACAATTCATTTTTAATGTAGGTCAATAATAGAGATTAGTTCAGATAATGGCTTTCTGGTTTCAGATAAGGTTCTAAAATATTAAGTACCCTCTTCTGGTTACATAAATCTTTAAATGTCAGCCTCTATTTTAACCATGAATCTAAAGTACACTTCAGTCCAAATTACACACAGGCAAGTATTTTAAAGAATACACACTTTCCAGCAATCCTCTTCTAGTGGCAGAAATGGAATGGTGCGGTAAGCAGCAGTTCACTGCATGCCTGACAAACCAATTGCAAGTGCTACGAAATAACCAAATTTGCATGTGGATTCTCAGTATCTTACTACACGGAAAAGCTCACATGGATAAACGGACAGTAGCAGACCATACAGACATGCCTACTACCATCCACTTTCTGCTTACGGACCATCCTGAGCATCTATCGGGCAAGCTGCGGAACACTGTTACTGATTCAATTAGCGGGACGACTGCTGTCCCTCCCGTGGCTCCAGCGGAGCCAGCTACAGCAGAGGCTGCAAGGTTCCAGTGAATTTAGCATAACCGGTTTGCATTTTTCCAGGCTTGCTAGACCGCGCTATGCAGTTTAGTTTTTAAGTGCACTTAAATGAAATATTGTTTTTTAAAAATGTGTTCCTTACTGTACCCTCAGAGGACAAATAAATTTAGTTCAGATACTTCTGCATGCAGTTCCCACAGACTCATGGGTTAGCCTTTCTCTGCCTGTTACTGACTGCCAGGGAGCTGACTTACTGGTCTGCCTCAGTGCAAACAGATCTAAAGTCTTCTACAGATTCGCCTTTGAAGCAGCTTATCCTATCCCACTCCACAGCGCGCTTCCCTGAATACAGCATTTTTATTATTATTATTATTGGGTTTTTTTACAAAAGGTAATTCAATGATTTAGTTAGATTTGAAACTGCCTTTTGTGAAACAACTGTATTAAAATATCTGATATTTTCTGTAATTTTTTATTTCTAAAAATGCCCTCTAAAGTTATCAGGCCCTGCATGTTGCTGTTGGTTAAGTTAAGACACTGAGCAGCGTTTACAAAGCTGAGTTTATTTCGTACCAACTTGGGAAATTTCACAGCTTTATTTTGTTTTTGTAAAGTTCTTCAAATAAAAAGGTTAATAGAAATAGTCTGATAAACTAAAGTTAAACACAAATTATAGGTTAAGTAATGAAGAGGAAAAACAATTTTGTAATTAAACTCACAAAGGAGTTAAACAAAGACAAACAAAAACATGAACAAATCGTGGTATTGTACCTTCTGAAGACATGCGTTTAGGCATAGTAGAGACAGGAGCTGGAGAACCATGAGCAGAGGGGTGAGACGGGGGCCTGGAGGGCCGCGAGGGGGGCCTGGAGGGCGGCCGTGTAGGGGTGGCTGCCCGAGGTGGAAGAGAGTTGGGACCTGACTGGTAGCGAGAAGGTGGGCGAGAGGAAGGAGATGGGCAAGGCGATGGCCAGGGAACACCTGACAGAACAAATGATATGAAGGAAAGTATAAAAACTAAAGAAAAATTATGGGGAAAAAGGTCAACAGAAAAAAAAAAGTAAAATATGACAAAATGATTTTTCATGTTTAACCCTTTGGGGATAGATTAGTTTATTTCTGTAACCAATAAAATAGTCTCTGCAAGGTTATGTCCTCCACTTCAGATCAAATTTAACATCTGAATGTCACAAACTCCCCAAAGGGTTAATTAGGATCTACAAATACTACTAAGGAATAGACAGTAAAGCTTGATCTGTTAGCCTATTATATATATGTTCTACAGTACGCATCACTCTCGACAAGGTCCTTAAATAGCTACCAGAGGTTCTCAAACAGCGGTTCACATATAGTATTGACTACACAAACTGCTACTTTCAAACCAAATGATGAGCAATATCAATTCCAGGAACTGTATCTTTACAAAAAACAGCGGTGTTCAGTGTCTGATTCCTGACATTTATGTCTTTATCGGTTATCTGAAGTATTAATGTAGTATTTTAATCTAGGATATAGGGTTCTTTGTTTCTGAAACAAAGAAATTGAATTCACAAGCCATTCTGAGTATTTTAGGTATATGATGTTCATTCAGCAGAGTAATAGGATGACAGAAACCACAAATACTACGAACAAATTTCAAGGTTAGCATTATTCAGGCAAGAGTCAGTTGTACATCCTTTATACAGCTGACTCTGTATTTAAAGATGAAGTCTCACTTACCTTCAGATGTTTCTCAGACTTCCTCTCCAGATAGAGGCACTTGAGTACTATACATTTTTCATTTATTCCCAACAATCTCGTATAATAGCAATTTTAACTTATAAAAATAACGCCTCAAGGACAGGCTACTGCTGAAATCCATCTCAAAAAATGGTGTTTGGTTTATGAAACACCGATTCCTGCTATACAGTGCCCAGTGATGTCTATTTATAAATATGACCCATGCGTATAGCAGAAAATACTCAAATAGCTATTTGGAGAGAAGGCTTTTTGATTCCTTTTCCCCTAACGCTTCTCTTACTTTCCCAACAACGATTTTTCCCCCCTCCATCACCACAAAGTCAGCAAGATGCTTTATCCTTTTTCATGGGAAACAGAACTGATCCGTGCAGCGGAAAGGAGGAGTGATGCTTCCTTGGCTGCCACCTCCCTTTCACTAGGTGTCAGCATTGCTACTCCTCCACACAGAGCTTAACAGAAGCAATACGTAAAGCAATTTTTAATCTTTAAAACTGCATACTGCACCACCATCTAAGACAAAGGTTTTCGAGAGGAAAACAAGTGACATTTCTGCTCCGCAAAGCTACGTAACAGTGGGAACGCGTGTTCCATTATGAGTAAGTTAAACCCAAATCAAAATCACAACCTCTGTCTTAAATGGTGAATGCTATCCTAGTTTATGAAATACATATCCCAAGTCCACATCATATGCAGTTTCAACAGAATTAGAAAACTGATTGCAATTTTATAAGGCACGTTCATTTAGACTTCAGATAGTTACCTCCGTTAACTACTCTTTGATCCGCTCCAGAGTTAGGACTGAATTCTGAAGTATGGGATCCAGACCTTGAAATTGGTGGGCCTGATCCAGACTGGCCCATCCTTGGTGAGTTTTGTCTTCCGCTTCCCCAGGACAGGACATCTCTATTCCTCTGTCCAGGTGGAATGTATTTGTTTTCTCTGAAACACAGCAAATTTCTATCAGTGTCACGACAGAACTGAAAGACAATGAGAAATACCTGATCAAGTGCTCTGCTGATATTTTCTATCCTCCTCAAATCAAGCTAGAGGAAAATTCTAAGTACTATCAGATGTTGACCTAACTTTAACCTCATGAATTGGCTTTTGATACTGACTACACAGTCCACTTTCTATGAGCCCACAGACACCGAATGATTTAGTACTAATGCCTGAAATTCTCCATGACGTACCGAAACCGCTGCCCTTTCCTGTAATTTGGTACGAATTCACCACAGTGCCATACCAGAATGGGGAAGTCTGTTTCACTACAGAGATAATACAGGGCCAGGCAGAGGTGTACAAGTCAGCATGAGTGCCAAAAACAGCATGTGATTGTTTACACAAGGTTCCTAACCTCATCAGCCCTGCTGAAAAAGCACAGCTTCAATGAGTAAATTGCTACTGTACCAAAATATGTACATCATTTAAATAAAAATACCATTCATAGTATATGCAAGTACCTAGTGTTCACACCATGTCCTTCTCGTTCATTAGCATTTCTCTGAACAGCAGTATATTTTTCTTCTTCTGTTCTTTCATCATTTTCCAAGGCAACCCGAGCTTTGTATTGGGCACTTGATTCAATTTCCTCTGCTAATTGAGTTGCTCTGGCTTCCCGTTTTAAAAACTCTTCTGAATTATCTCTTTCTAATGGCACCCTAAAAGACAATGGAAAGGAAAAGAATCTCTGAAATGCATTCAAAAGCACAAAGGAGCTACAAAAATTACATGGCGTTAATTCTAACCAAGTCAGAGTAAAAAAAAACTTGCTTTTAATTCAGTAGACTTGCTGCCTTTTTTTAGTAAAAGTATGTCAATATTCCTGGACTGGTTTGATATTACGTGGAAATTCAGTGTCATTTACCTGCCTAGAGAGCTGAGGTCAGGGTGCAGGGCTTTTCCGTATGACGTGCAAAATCCCCAGTCCCTAAAGGCATGCAAAGGCTCCAACTTTTAACACGGTTGAGTATATGAGTAACAAAAAGCCTTAGTCTGTTGTTTAGATAGGAAGCTACCGTAAGAGACCAAATTCGAATTTCTTTAGCTATTTATACATTCCCAACAGACAAAAGAGTCCCCAATCCTACTGAAATTAAACAGTTACATGCTTAATTCTTTGATAATTCCAGCCATCGAATTTCAGCTCTTGCTGTTATGAAAAACTGCAGAAAAGATGACTGCAATACATCAGAGCATGGGACCAGAAACCCATGACTCATTTGCCATGTCCTAGGACCTCAAAACCATTCATCCCGTCTATCTAGATTAGGTAACAGCATATTGCAAAAAGCATACATAGCTCCCTTAGGAAAGCCACCAAGAATTCAATACACGAGCAATGAAATACTGAAAGAGATAACTAGATATGGACATCGTATCTGCTACCTCCTCTGCCCACCCGTGTTTTTGGTTTTCACATGTTCTAATTTTTGTTGAAGTATCAGGTTTTATAAAACAACTTTCTGCTTTGTCTTTGATTCCAATTTTGAGTTCCAAAAGTTGTTTCATCCAACCTTACTTTAGAATAGACTACATAAATAGACAGAACACAGTTGAGGCTTGGCCCATGCTATGTTGGGCATTATATAATCACTACTGCACATATTTTGAATAATATAAAAAAGAAGAACAAAGAAAGTAGGTGGAGATACAAGCCAAGTATGAAATAATATATGCAAGATTACTCAAGTGTTTGTTGGTCACAGAACTAGGAAAACAAGTGGCTTTGCCAAATTCCAAGCCAGCACTCAGCTACTGCATCACAAGTTTTTCCCCCCACACATGTTTTTGGCCAGCTGGGACATCTACTGGGACATTACCTTATCAATGTTAACTGCAAGAATATTAAATAAAAACCTTACCCTTCAGCATAAAGCTTTGGCTCAAGTAAGTTATGCATGAACACAATGCATACAAACCCGAAGCGATGGGCCTCGCTTACCCTGGATTAAGCATACAGACAAGAGAGAACACCCAATACATCCTCCTTTATTTAAAGTGACTGAAAAAAAAAATGAAGGGATGTATACAGTAGGACTGATGGCAATCTAAACATGCAAAAGAATGATTTTCCATTTTCTAACAGGGAAAAGGCCATTAAAGATGAAACGAGGGGATGGGCGAGATGAGACCGTTCAGAACCCCGGCGATGAGAGGAGCGTGTACAGCAGCTGATCGACATAACTACCGCAGTATGCTTGCTAGAACACAAACTTGTACCTTTGTGTAGTTTGACAAACTATACCTGCTAATGCTTAGCTCCAGGAAGAGAAAACAATCAAACAATTAATCCTTTACAATCCTTCGGTTGCAGACATAAGCATTTAGCTACACTGCTGCTCATCACATACTTGGAGAATGAGGAAAAGGGTTTCCCAGTTTAGCAGACTGATACGCAAAGCAAGCTGCTTGACTGGGAAACAATGGAATTTGTCTCTGGCAATTTAAAGCCACCTTCATGTTTTTAATCTGTTTCCATTAATATCCATAAAGCAGAAAGATGGAAGACTAAAGTTCAAAAGTACAAAAAGTACTTAGAGCAGTGAAGTATACAAAAGAACAGCTTCCCCGGGATTCAAATGTAAGCCGATTAAACCACTTTGATTATCACCATGTCACAGGTCTATTTTAACAAAATAGTAAAAATTGTTGAACCGAAGACCTATAGACAAGTGCTCCAATTCTACAGAAAAGATCAAAATATTCACTGCAATTCCTGGATATTCCAAAATTAGTTTACACTTTGGGGGTTAAAAGAGTGGGAAAACATTAAAGACCTTTCACAACGGCTGCTGAACATCTGCAATTGATTTGTTTTGCAGTTGCAGTTACATTATAGCTGCAGACTACTGGGAACAGGTCCACACTGCCAAAATAGCCAGAGCAGGCTTTCTACTGCTTCTATAGTCAAGTTACTATTAGACTGTAACTGAAGCTTTACTTTAGATCTGGACAAGTCTGCTGAACAAGCACACAAGTCCCCCTTAAATATCAGCAACATTTCAACATGCCAGTAACAACCAGATCAACTGTCTCAATAAAATTAAGGTTCACTCAAACTCTTCTGCTAGGTTAAACACAAACTACAGGTATAGCAACTACGGAAAGATAGATTTGAGTTTCACAATTTGGTATTTTCCACCCTATTCATAAAAGTGTTTGTAAGAAATAAGCATTATCGCATGCCCAATTTCAGAAAATATGGCAAGGGGAACGAAATGTGTCTGTTTAAGGGAATACATGATTACTACATCTAACTATTCACAGAACGCTGGCAAGGTTTCTTAAGCACTACTCATTCATTGCTTTTGCAGTTATTCGATTCTACAACTTCAGAAAATATGTAAAATTATCTGCAGAATACAAAGTTTGTCAAACCAGGGAGAACATTAAATACAAATCTAATAACAAAATATTTTGGAACTTACGTATAAGAAGATAAACTGCTGTCATAAGTTGATACTACACCATAATTTTCTTCATTGTAACGAAACATGTCATTGGGATCCCATCCATTAGACTAGAAGAAAATGATGCTCGTTTTTCAAAATGACACTTGAAACACATTCCCTTAAAATTAAGGGCTGATGGCAGAAATTAAACCTTTTGCCCTTTTTCCTGGGCCTATGAATTCACTGCCCAGATAACAAAGTTACTAAAGCCACAATTTATTTCAGGGAACTTTGTTCATCAGATGCACAGATTTTACCTTCAAATGCCAGTATTTTGTTTGTTGAGGTTTTCTGTTGCTGCTGTTTTGTTTAAGTACCGTGCCCACTCTGTACTAGAAGATTACTGGCTAGCAAGAAATAAATACACAAATGCCTTTTCCAGAATGTGCAAATTGACACTTTTGAACATTTTAAGTGTCCCTCGCTGTGGCAAGCGCTGAACCTTTTCAAATGCACCTCTAATGCAATCATTGGAGACACACACCCCACAGGCAGAAGACCCCTGTTGATCTGCACAACTTCCCCACTTTAGCGAAATCGCTGTTACAGCACTCAAGCACAACGATAAATGTTTTGAATGTTTTATAAAAGCACTGACTGTATTAAGTATTCTAATCTCAGCTGTACAATAGGTACACTAAAATTGAGAGGATAACTGTTCTACCCAGACAAAGTTAATATGCTCTACAGTAACATGACTAGATTCTCCTCTAATCAGTATATATTATCGTCTGTCTTTAACATATTGCAGTCTGAGTACCTTACTAAAAAGAATGTATGGTTGAGTAAAAGCTGACTTGCTATGATATATCAAGTGATGTCATTTGAGGCTGTACTCTTCATCTAACGATTCATAATCTACTGAGATTGTATCTGTGCTTATTAAGCCATGGGTCAGACTTCCATCAATTTCCTTCATCTTAGCTCAGAGACAGTTAGCTAAGCACAATTTCGCCATAATTTCCAAATGCAATGATAGTCAGACAGGAATGCTCTGATTAAACGTAAATCACTTCAGTGTATTGCTGAACTCGGAGTCCTTAATAAAAGCTCCTCTTTCAGCCAGTCCATGAGTCAAACAAGTCCCTTACCACAGCAGCTCCATCTGTCAACATTTGCCAGAAGTGGCATCTGAAATCCAGCTATTCTTATTCAAATTGTAAAAAAGTACCGTGGCAGCTGCTAGCAAAGACTGAATATACGCTCATACAAATGCAGGCCGGCAATTTTAGTCAAAAGTTCATTGCTAGATTAAAATTAAGGAATTGTTGCAAGGCATGTCCAGAGAAATAGCTTATTTTCTATAGACTGTCATAGATGATAAAAAAACATTACTTACCACATCTGTCTCCAATGCCTCAAGCTCCTCAGTAGAGGTGTTCTCTCCTCCATCCCACGGTTCAAGATCCTTTTCCTTGTGTTCGCCATTTACTTTAGCACTGATGGCTGAATCAGTAAAAGCATCTACAACGGAGCGGGGAGGGACGGGGGTAAAATCAGTTTGGTTAAGCAATTAATCAATTTGGGAAGACATTGTACACACTAGTTGACCTGAGGAACAACCAAATACAGGCAAATCGCAGGCACATTAAACATCATTCATCACTGGAGTCGCTGTATTCAATAGGACTGCACTGGAAAGGTCCCTACTTCATACTTAGAATAACTATGAAAGTACAGACTGACTTCTAATATATGAAAGAACAGCAGTAATTACTTTCAGTTATTTCAAAATATTTTACGCAAACTACATGTATTTTTTAATAAAAAATAAAATAAAAACACCCCCCCAAACAACTACCTGAGGATCCTCATTCCTCTAGAAAACCCAAGACTTGTATAATACGCTTTCCTAAACAGCCCACATAACTGCACACTAACATACTATGCAAATATCAAAACTGCAACCCAATCCCATTCCCTAAATAAACAGGCAGAATACAAGTTTCTTTTCGAATACCCCAGTTTCTACTTCCACAGCTCCTCAGCACACCAGCATGCACGCACATACTTTTACCCCCTCTGCAGCGTAACTCAATTATCCGTCAGCTTGGTGCGCCCGTTCACTGTGACGTGAACGGAGACATCCTCTTTCCTGCGAGAGCTTTTTCAAGCAGCAGCTTACCCAAACCACACAACAAAGACTCCGAAACTCTCTACCTCTTGTTCTCAACAACATATGAAAATAAATATAGCATTAAGTGCATTAAGCAGTAAGGGTCTGCTATTGTTTATGTAAATGATGAAAACTTATTAAAAAAAAAATAAACATCAGGAGCTTTTGTTCTCACTTGTTCATGTTTCATTCAAACCAGACTTAAGAAGGCATAATACTCCAATATTAAAATGCTGTAAAAAAACCCCAACAACCAAAGGTCCAAAGCCATTCATCAAGGAAGCCAAGCTTTTGTATTTGTAGGCAACTAAATCTCAGAGCTGCCTGCAAATTCTTAAATTCAACAGAAGGAACCTCAAAAAAATAAGCTTGTTATTAGCTTATAAATAGATAAATAAACTTATAATAAATAAGCCTTCAATCTAGAATTTCTTATTATCATTCTACTGATAAAATAAGCAGCAAACATTTCAGACCTTTAGAAAAAATGAGATCAAACCACCAGGCAGTACCAGATATGGAAGAATGTGGCTTAAATTAACTTCTGGCAAGATGTGAAATCTTACTAAGAAAAATGAACTTTAAAGCCATCGTGAAAAGAATTCACAACATATGAAGTTGGCCACTGATGTTACAGTTTTTAAACATTTTTTTAGAAGAGAGACTGCTGACATAGCTTGTTATTCCTTGTTTTACCCAATTTCATAGTGAAGTTCTGCACACATATTGGTATGATCCGTCATAAAAGTTAACTGTGCTTAGTCTGTCTAATCACATTCAGCACTATCCCATGAAATGCTCGCTCAACTCATACACAAAGACCAAAGGAACTATGGGTAAGCAATTAAGCGTTGTTAATAAGCTTATATGCAACAAAATGTTACAGAAGACATACGAAAAATAAGAGCTTAATAGCTAAACATTCATTTCCAATACAAAAGAATCAGTAAAATAAGAAAATAAAGCCAAACGAAAGAAAGACACCTAACCAGGCACACCACTGTTAGGGCTCGTGTGAAATTGCAAAAACCTGCATCAATCACCTTGCGAGATGTCACAGTCTGCCAACCAAAGCCGCGACAATACCTCCGCGGCTGGAGGTTAACGCTTTCGAGCGAGATTAAATTTTAGTCCGTCACTAAATGCAATGCCTTTAGCAGGCACGTTCTGGGATTACTTGTAAACTGTTCTGAAACAGTGTCATCGTATCACTGTACCACCTACGTGCTGATGCAAAATTTCAATCGTTGCATTTTCAACTGTTCAGAATAGGTAAAAATCAAGGATGAGAATAGAAGTCACCAACTAACCGCAAGAGAGTCTAAATGATTCTGTGAAGTTACGCATGCATGTTTTATAGTGCCAGAAATGTGAGAGCAAAGATATTAAGTTTCCGTTATATATTATGGTAACAAAAGCATTATGAAAGGCAAGATGCAGAGAGAGAGAGTGACTGCCAAAAAAGTTACCTGTTTCTGAAGGAACTACAACAGATATGGAGAGAGAAAAAATTGGAAGACATCAGATATAAATACAGGTGGATTTTTTCACATTATATGACTGAATTCAGGCAAAGCTTTGAGTCCCTCTCACAGACATATTCCAACTGATTATACATCTCCCACCTTGCAAAGATCATTTCCATAGTAAAACTTCAGGAATATTCCCACCTATGAACAGCCCCATTTTGCTTCACAAAAAACACCCCTCCAAATAGCCTACAGATTTCGAAGGTATACCAACTTGCAAGAAAATGTCTGTCTCCCTTCACACAAACAGCTTTTAAGATATACTATAAAACCAGAAGATATGTTTATATGTCATCTGAAACTACACAGTAACACAGTGCTACCTCAATCCACAGTTAAGCAGTAACGAAAGAGCACATTTAACACGGAGGCAAAAGGCACTTGTGTTCAGAAACTCTGCATTTACCTTATCAATACCCTGTAGCTAACACTGCCATAATCCAGACGGACCAGTGCTGCTTCTGTGCTTAACATCATTAATTCAGTGTTTCACGTCTGATCCTCTCAGATTGGACATTTTACACCAAATGCAAATTGGAGGCTGCTTATGTCAGTTCAGAAACTGAGATTTGCTTCTACACCACCTCACTGGGGGTAGAGGGAACTCTTCTCCAATGAAATTAGATAAGTATGAGTTAGGAGGACTGATGACAGCACCTGATGGAGGTAATCCTCTGTATTTTAGAAGGGTGTTTCTTTAATGTCTATTAAATTACTTCAGACAAACTCCATACACAACTGTGCCCTTCTGGATATCATGAATAAAATACGCGGTTAAGCGTACCTACTCAACCCACTAATTTTCTTATTTAAAAAGCCACATAAACATTTAGCAGAGTAGTGTTAAAAATTATAATGATACAGACGAACTGGGAGGCAGGGGGGAAAAAAACAAGCCAAAACAAAAACTTCACTGCCTAATGACTGCTATAGATCTGAGTAAGATGTGAACAGTCAGTGCTAAGTTTCCCAGTAGAATCCCGTACATCGTGGGGCTCAGGAAGCTTCACTGCTCTTCATTTCTCGCTCACTTTAAAATGAAAGTCACAAGTGAGACTACAACATCAGTTTAACCTCTACAGCTCAAAGAAAATCCAGTTAGGAGAAATTCAAGCTACAAAGGCAAACTTATAGTCAGACAATAGGGTCTCAGGAGCATCCAGGCAAAGTTTAAATGTAGCAGAATGGTACCTCAAGGCACAGATCGCTATTTTCCTGGAATAAATAGCTAGGTGGGCACATGGGACACCAAGATTAAAAATGCAGCAAGTCAAACAAAATTGAAAACCTACCTAAAAAATAAAATTCTGCCAATTCCAAAACAAAAATACTGTTCTTAAGATCATTAGTAAAGTAGAAGGTAAAATATGACCCGCTGCCACAATCGCCGACTGGCAGCTCAGTTACAGACAAGATACCGACTGCCCAGGCTCAGCCTCCCCCTTAGCTGGTGCCTCCTATCTCTGAGCTGTGGAACGAGCAATTCACGTGACACCTTCACCCGGCCAAATTTTTAATCAATTCCTTTTCTACATGGTAAAACCCAAGTTAAAGATCAAATGAAAACTGGTCAAACAAAGAGCTTGAGCTGTAACACTCAATTAGCCCCCGCAGCCTCTGCACCTGCTTAACGTGACATCTCCGAAGCAAAGAAGTTTGATATCAAAGACCTCGCTTCTTGTTTTAAAGCCTGCTAACTGGAAAAAAAAAAACCACACCAAGGACAACTCTATGCAACAGAAATTCACGTTAAGTAAAGGCAAATTAAATATACACTTTCTAAGCAAAACTCAGCTTGAACAAATTCTTCAAGTATGCGCTACTAAATGAGTTAAAGAAAAATAAAACCCAGAATAGAGCAATTAAGAGTCCAGGTTTAATTAATTTCAGTGTTTAACATGCTTGTTTTTGCAGACATATTTTGAGCTACTAATGGTGAAGAGCACAAATGTGCAATTAAGCGCAACTCTGCTGTTCAAATGCTATTAAACCAATCGGCATTTTGTGCCAAAGGTGTTCATGCCGCACACTGCGAGCTTTGATCGCGTTTAGCATGGCCCAAAGTAAACTGAGGTTTCATCTTATAGGTTTCAACAGTAAACTCTCATTTGGTTTGTAACTACTTACTACTGATTAGAAACATGAAAACCAGTTATGACCAGCTTTGCAGAGCCAACATTTCCTTCCTTTGTTCATACTATGCCTACTGCTATTCCCCTTGCAACACTTTCTCTGGAAGGGTGCCACTTTCAGTGCTAATTCAAGGAAAAACTTAAATAGCCAATTCTCTTCTGCCTTTTTTTCATTGGATTTGTAATATTTTTCTCAGAGTGCAGTAATGATGCCAAAAAACCCAATAAAAACATTGTAGAAGCCTTTTACTTTAACAGCACTTATGATGTTGAATTGTCTTGTCTTTAAAGAGAAGCCAAGAAGGCAATTCTGAAGCCTTACTCAAATTTGAATCATATGTAAACCAGCACGGTCGACTGACCAGTGTTTAGGACTACAGGAGACACTGCTACAAGCTTGTTCTATAGGACACAGGAGAAATACACCCTCCTATTTCATTCACGCAGCCTGAGTAATCCAGCAACTGCGATCTAGGCACGGCACCTTTGCCTCAGAAGGTGAAACAGAAAGACATTCCACGCCAACGTACAGCTGAAAAATTCAACTTGCACATTACAGTGGATTTTTAGCAGTCGATTTCCACTGCTACACGCAGAAGACAGTGCCTGTCCCCCTTTAAATGCAGACTGAATAGTCTGAAAGGGGGATGATGGATATAATACAATTTCACCCGAGTCTTTCAATGCATGTTTCATTCATCAGCCTGCCTGTACTGCAGAAAGCCCCAGTTCCACGGTGAGAGACCCTCAGGTGACCCCTTTCCATTCGTTTTGAAGCCTAACAGGAATCTGCATGAGCATAAAGGTCTCTGCAGATTGACAGAGTTGCAAATAAGGGCCCAGGAAGTAGGGACAGATTTTTATTTTTTTTTTTTAAACATAAATGGTTAGAACATCCTTATCCAGGCAGATCTACTATTTTTTCTTCCAAACCTAATTTCTACAATCTGGGCAGGAACCACACTTTCTCCACTTGCGCGTTTAAAGGTGCAATGTCACGCGTGGCACAAGCAAATCTAAGACTGCTGCTTCCAAACGAGGTGGTTTCACCCACCCCAAACCCATACTGTCGTTACCTCCCCCGCGCTCACGCTACTGCTGTAGCTGCAGGATGAATTATCAGCTCACTGCTCCAAAGCTGCACAAGTACGATAGCAATGAACGATACTTGGCAGACTATTTCAGATGGTTCCTTCAGAGACAACTGCGCTCCTCTGAAAGGAAAATCCAGCCCACTCCGCTTCTCCCCACCTGCTGCTCTTTTCCAGTACTCTTCCAGTCTCTTCTGTCTGACTGGGTCAGACAGGCCGGCAATGAAGCGAACGTCTCCGCTATTCAAGTCTGAGGGTAAGTCAGAAGATCAAGACCCACCGTCAGGAGCACCTTTTGTCCACACTCCTTCAGCTCAGCAGAGAAGCAAATGCCAGAATAAAAATCCGTGCAACCCCAGATATTTATACTGAACCAGGAATTCAGGATGCATTAAAATTTCCCATTTTTTTTTGGCAGAAATTAAGTTTACTTCAAGGCCTCCTCAACAGTCTAGCAGTCTCCCAAGGGGTAGGAGAAACCACATACACAGAACCCAACAAATCCTACCCCAGATAAGCCTCTCCCATGGCAACGCTGCTTGTGAAGCGCCCTTTCGTTTGTCTACATTTTTAAGAAAGCGAGAGCAAGCTGCCTTTCCAACCAGGTATGTCCAAATTATCCACAAACTTGTCTCTGAAAGCCAAAAAACACTGAGGACGGGGCAATTTTAAGATACTTGCTCCTGGGTATGCGCGACACTGTCAAAATTCTCTGGGCACCATTCCAAACCATTCCCAACACAACCGCAGCAAGGAGCACCATCGCCTCCCCTAGGAGTTCGGACTCAGTTTGCGCTGTGAATCAGACAGGCTTGTCTGACTCGGTACCATGAAGATTTAGGTTTATTTGTAAGAACAAAAGGCCAGCAGTTCCTGCGTGCATGTTCATACACTTCCATTCTTTTGAACCTTTGCTTATTTAATTTCCTAAGAAGCAGAGGGCCCTTTTTTGCTCTAATTTACAGGTCTGATCAGAGACTGACTTACACTTTCGAGTGTCATTTCCATTTTTGAGACAAAATGGAAAGCAGATTAATTTACCCACTACGAGTTATCAAGTTTTGCAGCCTCCAGTTTATCTTGCTCCAAGTCTCTACAGCTTTATTTCAGCTCTCCTCTCCAGCTACTTAAGAGATTTGGATTCAAAGACATTCCACCTAATAAAGCAAACTGAGCAACTGTTCAACCTGAAGCAGTAATTTTCTTCTAGAAAACCCCCTTTGAGTAATTATTCCTAGAAGTACTAGTATATTCTTCATTCTATCTGCTCAAAATCTATAAAGATTGGGTAACAGAGAGCCCAGTTTGCATTTACATTAAAGTGACGTTCATAGCAGACCCATTATAAAACAGCTCTCGTGTAATCTAAATTCAAAGTCCCATCCAGAACCTGGAACTTATCTGCATTTCAATGCTACATTTGCTCTGACATTATGCATCACCTTCTGGGAAAAGCAAATTCCTTGAAACAACAAGCCTCTCATTCTTCAGCTTTAAATCAGGCAAGAACAGGGCCATGTACAAACACAAGGTGAAAAGAGAAAAATCTCATTAAATGCCCACCAGTCCCTACGCATCTCTAAGTCACTGCTACATGGGAATAAAGCATATGTGTTACAAAAACCACTTAGCTCCCGCTGACAGTCATTGAGCAACCTGAAAAGGCACACATATGCAATTTCACTCCATGGTACAGAAAGCTATGCATCCGCTTTTATTCCTTAAACCGGCAAGTCAGGAACAGAAGTATAAAACCCCTTGAGATTTGCCACCCAAAGAAAAAAAAAAAAATCAGCAAATGAACTAGAGCTGTCTGACTTATGAGCCTTTTAGGTTCCAAAAAAATAACTAGTGTCTTGGAGGTCAGATGTTAAAAGACAAAGTACGAAGACTGCCTGTAAAATCATTTAATTCTGACAGTTTCAAGCCATGTCTTCAAGATTTTAAGACCACCTGCCCACCACCTCACTAGGTTCTTCTGTATTTTGAAGAGCCTTACCTACAGATCTACAAGCAGCAGAAGGAGAAATTACAAACACAAATAGTGGATTTTCCTAAAGAATTTTTAGCTCCATTTGCAGTAGTATTTTTAGAATATGTATATCAATGCACATTTTGGGACAAAAGTTACTTAAATAAATACACACTTTATATATACACCAACTATGAACAATAACAATTTTATAAAGAATTTGTGTATTCATGAATTGTCATATAACATTTAATAGACTAGTTTAGAATGACATTTACAAAAAAAACCCCAAAAAATCTCCCACAAAAACCTGTAAAATGTTTTGTAACACCACTAAGGATTTGCCTTCCAAACAACTAAAACAGCTGCTCAAAGCAGTATGACCTCACAAAGGTTCTGGAAGCCATTTTTAAAATTCTGATACATTTCTAATTTCGGGAGGTGCTGAGCACCTGCTCTTTCCATTGACTTTAACGGGATACTTGGATGTTCCACACTCATTAAGAGTCTAAATGTGAACTTCAGGTTTTGGATCCTAAAACAGTTACTTTGGAAACCTTGACTTATGATCTTAGGATACAGACAACTTTAAAAACAAGTATACCTCTTCTCGCATAATTGGTATCCATATCCTTAAAATGCACCATAACAAAATCTGAAGACTTGAACAAGATACTCTCTAGTATGTCTTCACGTTTTGGCCCCAAACTGGATTCTGCAGTTTTCCGATGAGCAGCATCAAGCACTAAATCACACTATTAGAGATATAAAAAAGAAAACACTAACTTAATGCACAATAAGCTCCTCAATAACTTCACAGACTTGAAAAAAAACAGACATTTACAACAGTTTGCAAAAATGAATCTGCTCGTGTACACCTAGACATAAACAGTCAAAATAATTCATAATAAATACTCAAATTTTAATCAAACATTGCCTAACATTCTAAAATAGGGAAGAGTCAAAATGAACAAAATTACCTTAGGACTGTAGGTTTTAAAAACTCCTTCATATATACCACCATTTTTCACCTGTACTTCACATTTGGATCCCTGAAATGCAAGAAAAATGAAAATATAGCTTTCTACCAGCCTGACACATGACACTTGAGTGATTTCCTCAAAGATCTATTTTTTATGTAAGTACAATGTGTAAAAATACAGCTCAGTTTTTAGTCAAATCTACTCATTCAACATTTGCCTGTTTCTAAGTACGCCACTGTGTTCTGCAGATGCAAACAGCTGGGTGCGTACCAAAATTTGTTGTGAAGGAATTTAAAGATACTCACAGAAGCATATTTGGGACTCACAAGACTCTTGACCAGTTATGCACACAAACAAGTTTTTGTGCGAAAACAAAATCTGTGCGTATGTGTGGGTACAAATAAGGATGAAGGCCTATCCTGGACTCTACCAGATGCAGGACAGTCTGTGTTACTAAATTTTGGCATGTCAGGATTTCCCTTAAAATTTGGGGGAAAAAGGCTTCCACTCCCTGTACAAAGACTCGATTTTATTTATCCATAACCCCTCTACAGACAGAAAATTCAAAATAAGACCGGTGTATGTAAGGAATTTGCTACACCTCTGCTTGCTGTACCCGAACCTTTCCAAGCCAAAAATAGAGAACAGCTATTACTGTGATTCTTTAAAGTTCAATCTTGGCCAAAGATGCCTACTGTTAAAGTTTAATATTCCCTCTGTTATATTACAATTACTGGACTAGTTAACAATTCTATGTCATTATAGAAACTGTTTACCCTCCTTCCAAGTAACAAGACTTACAACAACTGATGTGAGTATGTGAACCATTCTCATGTTTGCATAGATGCCATCAAAAGAAATCTGAAAAATAAAAAAGATGTTGTCATGAATACATGAGAAACACTTATAACAATTCAAAAGATCGATGTGCCAAAAACAACACAGGCTTTCATTTCAGCACATACTAGTTCCTCCAAACACTAGTCCAAAACCCTTACTCAGTCAATATACATAGAACTTAGGTCAGATGAGATTTCCAGAGGACCCTTACCCCTTTTTCTGATCAATTCAAGATCTGAACAGCCTTCCAAACAAGACCAACATTACGGAGTGCCCCTAACGTCACTCAATAAGGACATTCTCTTGCTAGTTGGGTGAAGGTCGTAGTCACAGAATCCCAGCTGGAAAAGCCCTGCTAACATCCCTCTCTGGTTTAAGAGGCATCAAGAGGATAAGGTACTTCAACTGCTGTACAAGTAAAAAGGTGCTTTCAGGGCCCACTGAACTACGTCTTTTCATCTAACAGACCTGACTACGTGCGTTAACAGAAGCTCAAGTCATCAAATCATGGAGCGCCAAAGAGCTACAGAACCTATCGTAAAATTAGTCAAAAGTAATTCACTGCAGTATCAGGAACTGAGACCCTACCTAGGAGACCTGACCTAGCATCACCCGGGGTGCTAGACAACACGCTCGCATAAGCATAGGTAAAATGGCAAGGACGTCTGCGTTTTGTTGCAAAATCTGGTGTCTCTCCCTGTTGACTTCATGCTTGTGAAACAAGAGATGCTGAAAGATGCAAGGACCTCACCGTATTTTGAGCTTTTTAAACTGACAACGTATCTTTTAAACTGTCGGCTACTTGATCCACTTACTCCTGCATGTTAGCCACGCTTCCTGGTCTGAAGACATGTTTAAGGACGCTCCTGCGCTCAGCCCTCAGTATGGAGGACGTAAAGACTAACACTTTTATGATGTTTAATGTTTGCATATGACTTTTTTCATGACTCTTCCTCAAAGCTTCTTTATTTCTACTGAAGAGTCTCAATATCAACAAACATTTACATAAGTAAACAGTAGTCCTTTCAAACCTTCCTGCTTCTGCCCCATTCCCCAAAATTAGTTACCCTTGAAAACCTTGAAAATTAGCAAATATTTGATTAGCGCAGTTCAGAGATCCACTCTTTAAATCGAGATCCGTATCTTTAGCTTTGATAAAATGATGTCCTACAAGTCAAGCCACACCTGTACTTCAACAATATATAGCCTCAACAGTAACTAAAGCTACGCGTTCAGGTTACTGGTAATACTGGGTTAGCTATTTTATAGTAAAGCTAAACAAAATTCTTATTTTTATTTAACTGAACGCTGTCTTACTGTAATCTGTTTAAGGGAGAAGCCAATGTTAAGAGTCTTCAGATAGGAAACAAGCATTGCGTTAAGTTAAATCTTACCTGCATCTAGAACTACAATTGCAAGAAAAGGCAGAAGATTTCTATTAGTGTAGTCAAAAGTTTAAGTGACCCTTCACCCTCCCAGAAGACTTAAATGAATGCAAGATGCCGCATCTTTAGAAAAGCGGATCTCAGTCTATTGTCACGGTATCCAAAGGAAAAAACTGAGAGAATATTCCAGTATCTGCTATTCTTATGTTGGTACTTGGGTTCACTGTGTACAGAAGTTGTTTGCTCATACCTAGCAGTGGTACAATGAGGAAAAAACATACTTACTGTAGGCTGAGGCGGTCCTTTGCCGCTGCTGCGACCTCTGAAATTAAATACATACATGGGATATGATTAAAAAAAAAGCCAAAACTGGTTAATTTCTTAACAAGTAAGAATTCAAAAACCCATCTTAATTTAGCGTCAAGAATGGGATCAGAGAAAAACAGCACTCCCCTAGAGCAGAACCTGACAACTACAGGGCCCACAGCATCTGTCCTCCAAACTACTGACCTACAAGCAAGTAACACTGCTTAGCAGGCAAGAGGGTTACCTACAATAAATTAAAATGAAGAAAATACTAAGCTTATGTCATTATAAAAATCCAAACGCCCTTTTAAGCAGAATCCTGTAACCAAAGCAAATTCCAAAACCAAAAAACACTTTCAGGTCCAATCCCTACTTCCTACAGGGTCCCTTCTCTAAGAAGAGAGGCTCAGTACGTCATCACCGTCCCTTCGACTAAGGGCCACCCAAATAACCAACCCATGCTGCGAACTACAGAGGAGCCCCGATGGTAAGGCCCTACCAACACAGCTTACTTATAACCACTATCACAATCCAGCAGGTGAAACTAATTAAGTCTCTCCATCCCCTCAAAACCACTAACTACTTTTCATGCAAATCTGTCAATGTGTAGCACTGTGGACACTTCAAAAAGCTTTTACGTTAACCTGTATGCTCTTAATATCTTCCAAACTGAGATGTAACAGCGTGTGCTCTCCACCTCAGTCATCTGAGTCCCAACAGCATCCCTGCAGCTCGTGTGTCCTCAACAGCTACACAGTAACGTGAGGCAAAATTAAGCCTTCTAATTTTTAAAAATCCATTTTTTTAAATAGACCCACCTTAGCGATGCACAGCCATTTAGAGAGACTCAAAGAATCACGTCTACATTTCAAAATATCCATTGACATCTAAATCCAACTGAACGTCAGGTGTATTCAATTGCTTTTGAAAACACTACGCTGTGGGTGAATACAACCTCGCTCCCAAAACAACGTGCCCTTATAAACAGGGTTCTTGAGTTAGTCAAGAAATCAGAGGAACTTCTCCCAATGAAGATAAATATCCCTCCAATAAATTCTGCAGAAATAAGCAAGTCCCTCAGAGAACCATGAAAAGCCTTAATGAGGAAAAAAAGAAAAACCACTACACTATCACCTGACTCGCTGAAGAAAACGCGCTTCTGAAACAGCAGTGCAGTCTCATACAGCATCACGCACGCTGATGACATTTGCTGATTGGCAATAACTGCAGATTTCAGATGTCTAGCTGACATTTTCAGAATACTTGCAGAGTACTAACCTCACGAAAAAACCCTACTGCAAATAGCCTTTATTTAATTACCTATCAGCCTTAACTTTCCATAAGGCAGCGTCACAACTACAGGCTTGCTCTGCCGTTTGTCAAATGGCTACCTACAGCACGGGGCTGAAGTAAACCCTTTGTGAACCCGGAATGTAATTTTTGCATAATATTCAGATGAATGATCCTCTTCTTTCTGAAAGTCAGTTCACCAGACGTGAAACACCCAAATAAAAGAGAGGTACAGTCCAGCTCTGATTTTTCCTTTTATTACCATCAAAAACATCGAGGACATGGTCTTTCAAAGAACATGGACAAAGTCAGTTCCCTCTGCTGGTCTCAAAGATTTTGGAAGATATTCCTTCCTACATCAGCTATAGAAATGGTCAAAAGTGAAAGAAAACGCTGTCTCTGAAACAGAAAGCGCTCCCATTTTTAGCGACAAGTACTCTCAGAACTTAAATAACTGGGTTGCTAGACCGGTCAGAAAGTTTGGAGTATTCCCTTTAAGCACCAACCTAAGTGTTCTAGATTCTCCATCTCCTACTACGTTTCCAAAATTACTGTTCCTACCCATGTTTCTTTAAGAAACAATCCCATTGTGCACATCCACATTGGCAAGAGGTCCTAACTTCTACATCAGACCAAGAGTTAAGCTAACTGCAAAAATTCTATATACTATTCTGATCTAACAGACCTCTACAGATCTGACCTCTTGTTTTCCAGCTACAAAAACCATTAGAAAAAAGGAAAGACATTCACCAAGATAAAAAAAGACAGACATTCACCAATTCTGCCAATACTACAATTCAATCAAGACTGGGTATATCTTCTGCTAAAACCAAGGCCATCAACTTGAGGTTCACATTCCAACAGGCGAAGATTCAAGTTCGAACTACCCTTTGACACATCTTTGATGCATCACCTGAAAAAAACCTAGGACCTTTACAAAAGCAGAAAGTAGATGGTCTTTGCCAGAAGTTTAACACAATTTAAAACAGGAGAGTAACACTAAGAAATGGAGGTGGAGGAAAACTGAAGGGTCACTAGCAATTCGGCACTGCTACCTAAAACCACATCTTGATTACAGTAAGTACAGTAAATAATATAAAAAATACATTCTGTATTGCAGAAACGTGGTTAAAGGTAAGCCTGGGAGAGGGCACAGCAGCTTGGCAAATCCAACTTGTTTTAACCCCTTTGCTTTGGGGTAGCAAACTCACAAAGTCAGAAAAACGCTGCACCAGACAAAGTAACGACCAAGCAATTAAACTCAGTAGCCAACTCATCGCAGGCCAGCAGTTACACCTTAAGAGGGAAAGTCTCCATAAGGGCTTAATCCCAAATGCTGCACAATAAACGTTTTCCCCAGCAGCAACTTGCAAATTTTTTTCTATTTTTATGAGCGCTTACTATCCTATTCCTCAGCATCCCTCACCTCCCACCCTAATGTTTACATGCCAAGTAGAGCGTTTGTATAAGCAAAACAAGGTCAAGCATTTATATTTTCCCAGTTAAGTGAAAACTAATGCAAAGGCCACAAGTCTTTCCAGGATGTGAAAGAAAGTCTCAGCTTTTCTCTCCAGCAGCATCTTCGCTTTGAGACTAAGAAGCGAATGCAACCATACTGCCATTAATGTCTAGAGCAGAAGTGCAAGTACAAAGACTTTAACAGAGCGGATAGATGTTTCTGGAGCAGTGGCTGACATTACTACAGCTTTGAAAACAAATTTACAGGATGCTCTAAAGAACTTTCATTACAAGTGCAGAGAGCTGGTAAAGCTTTCTTCTAAGGGAGCAATCAGAAGTACAAAGTTTCATTTAAGTGCAGTATTTGTCTATGTAAATCAAATGAATCGAAGCTGTCAAAATAAGATTATACAAGAAGTCCTGCAGCACCATTTTCTGTAGTTTTCCCCAATACTGACATTAATAATGTCAACTCCTGTCTCTTTACAAGGTGACAACCTCTGTAGAGTACGAAGAGGTAAGTGACCTGACTCGAGTCTGACCCAGTGCACATCTGTAGCCTGTGGATGGACTTAGTCATTGAAGAACCTTCTCCACATACACTCCCATGAATCAGTCATTGAATTAAAACTTACTCAAAAATGGGTCTATAACATCATAGCAGAGCGCATGAACAGCGATAAGGAGAGAGACCTGCAGGTTATCCATTCATTTTGCTCAGCAGTTTAGCACGATTGCATTAAAACCGACATGCACAAAGATGTTAGAACAAACTAGAAAAACTCGGAATGGCACATGCGATCAAACCTCCAGAACAGTCACTTCCATTCTATCAGAGAGCCTCGGCACTCGATATTCCCAATTACTTCTCTCTGAACAGAATGGACACCTCTCTTCTGCCCTTTACTTAAGCCTTTAGTTAGGTTAATAAAAAAGGATGTCAAGGAAAAAGGAAGAGAGTAGACAAGAAGCGTTAAGTCTCAAAAGCAAGCTACGCAACGTGGGATCGTTTCAGTTTTAACTTTTCAATGGGAAAGGTCATTTACAAAAGACAGTAACTTAAGAGTATTCTTCAAGGACTCCCAAGTCCAGTTAGGCAAAAAAGTTACCTAATAAAAAGGAAAAATACCGTCTGTCACAATTGTAACTAGACACGTAACAATCCAAAACCTAAGTCTTAGGTGTTTTGTCTTCAGGTAAAATAATAATGGGGGAAAAATGGTAACAAAAAAGGAAGCAGGGGTTGAAGGAATGCTGGGACAGATGCAACTTTCAATCACAGGACAGCCAACTTTCCTGTGCTTGTATAAGGGCAAAACTAAGCTAAACCACAAAAAGTAGGTATTAGATAATGTTTTGACTAGCGTATCAGAGCAGGTTTATGTTATGAGGTCTACGTTTTCTCCAATTACAGTTCAACATGCTCTTGGCATCCCCCTACAGCCCCATTTCCCATCTGCCATATTGCACACACAGTTGTCATTAAACAAACACAGTGTTTTACTTAGTGCCTCTTTACAAAAAAAAAAAAAAGGTATTAATTCTTCTTGCTTGTTCTTCTTGAACATCTTTAAAGATACCTTCATTTATGATTTTTCTCCTTATGTAAAAGAAATTATTAATATCATGAAACAAATATTGGTATGTCTTACTCGTTCACAAAGGATTTTACCTTTTTTAATATGAAATACATATATCCATCATTATGAAACCATGGAAACAAATGTAGTGAGCAAAGCTGACCCTCCACTCATTATCAGACGTAAAAGGACCAGGTGCTCAGCCCAATTAAGTCTTATGGTAATAAACACACAGCAGAAAATTGGGTCCAGGACAGTTAACTATCAATGACACTTCTACCCAAATCTAAGACTTTAAGGGCAACTTAGCCATGAAACATAACATTCTTTTGCATCTCAAGAAGATATGAAAAAGAATGCCAGTGCTGCAGGGAAATCGAGTTGCAAAACCGCTAGGAAGAAAGCCTGGCATAAACTGGATATGTTTAAGTTTCTATTAAATAATATAATGCTTCAAACTGAAACGAAGATGCAGGCCAGCTGAAACAAAATTTGATTTTTCGAACAGAAAAGCCACTCAGCTTTTCATTTACATGAACAGATTTGCAGCAGGAACCATCCTTGAATCTGTACTCCCGAAAGACAAGACTTTTCTTTATGACAGCAATAGGAGTTCTCTGAAGGTGTTCCACGGGGCTCCATTAACCTGGGGATTGCGATTTTACGGACCTTTCATTCAGAAATAACT